TCATACATACACCAGAACATAAACACTTGGTTTTTTTATTAACGTGATTATTTTTAATGTTTGAATAACTGTGTCGTCTAGCAAATTTACGAATATTTCATACATTAAAGTATGCGCAGTCTTTACATTTTTTGTTTTGCAAGCGTTTTTCTAAAAGGTGCTGTATGTACGTTTTTGACTGTTTAAAACCATGAAAATATTATAATATGTTTGCAGATATTTAAGAAACATGCTAAGTGAACATACTTGTTTATCTGTCTAAAACAATGCTGAAGTCAGATACTCTGCTTTAAAAATGTCTGTTATGTACTGGAACGCTGTCTTTGTTTTGATTCTTTTAACCCGCCCACTGCCACTTTAGACAATTATATTTCAGCATGCCTTTTATGTCTTATATTTCATGCCTTGGTGCATTCGTTTAGAAAGGCTCTCAAAGCATGCACCCGTGACATAAATATGACTTTTGGTGGACAGTAGCAGACTCCTAAATGAGACGCAGATTCAGAGTTCCACATGAGGTTATTAGTTAGTAAATAATATAAATATTGCGAAAGTGAACATTAGGGGAGCAGGTTACATTATAACCCTGTGTCCTAACAACATGCTACGTGATGAGATTTGCAGTAAAAAGCAGATTGGCTGTTTCCACGAGACGAATCACAACAGGAATTTAAATACAGCTATTTAGAAGCACTGAATATATGAAAACGAAATGGTAAGGTTTATAATCAAATTAAAACGTATGAAACTGATATGTGTTGGTTTGCATTATTTAACGTTTCTAAACTTCAATTTCAAGCATTTTATTTTATTTTCAAGATCTGAGGTGAACTATCTGCTGCTGCTTTCAGTAGTATGGCTATAAATATCTTGTAAAATAGCATTCAAACTCGCATTATTAGAATTTAACACTGAATAAAGCACGTGAGGTGTACATGAGGTGATCATTGTCATCAAGTTTTCAGTTGTTCAGCTGCAAAAAACAGAAGCCATTTCTAAAATTCAAGTTTGTGGTGTTGGTTAAGGCAAACCCCTTTTAATATGAAAATATTCCTTCTGTTGCGTGCCATAGCTTTTATTTAGAACGGGATTTAAATCAGCCTTAAATCAGCGTTTAGGCACGATAGTCAGGCACACACATCTGGCAACCTGCACTTACATGTGTTTTGATCCAGTAGTGCAATACCTAGTTTAACCATTGGGTGTCAAACTTGCATACTGCACCTTTTAAGGTGAATAATTAATTGGAGAAAATTAAAAATGTTTTTGGTAATCCTAAATCAAGAGACAACAATTTGCTAGTGAGTTTTGAGTGGCGGTTCTTCTATTATCGTCTACTTAATGACTTCCATAGCAACTGCATTGCAATATTCTTAACCACGCCGTTAGTTAGTCTTAGTCAAACTAACCCTAACCCGTTAGTTTGCTATGAGGAAACGAGAAAAAAGCTCCGCTGCCTACTCAACAAACTGAAATGAAAGACTCAGCAACTTTAATTTCACAGGGACTTTAGGTTAAGTTTTAATTTTTGTATGTTATTTGCTAGCTGAAATTATTTATTTTTGTTAATAGTAATAAAGCTGAAATAAAATATTATATTAGATGAAAAGCAAGGCAGAATGGTGCCTTGAAAAATAGTTGAAAATGTGCACTGAAGTATTAAAATTGTTCAAATTTTATGTTAAACATTTTATATATTTTAATATATATATATTGGAGTTGTTACAATACAGGAATTCGGTACATATCGATACTGAAAAAAACATCCATTTATCAGTAACATTTGAGCACTGTTGAGCACGATCTTAAACACTGTGTTTACATGCTCAACAGAAATGACTGTGATTGGCTGTGAAGGTCATCAGTTTACCAAACTCATTGCTGTTTTCTGAGTGTAACCGCAGATACAGGGACACTGGAGCATTTTATAGCCGTGATTTATCAGCGGATCACTAATAGTTTATAGACAAACCAGCTGATCACTCTAGTGTCCCTGTACCTGTGTTTATTCTCAGCAAACAGCATTGAGTTCGGTAAACCGATGACCTTTATGGCCAATTACAGTCATTTCTAATGAGCATGTGAATACAATGGCAAATCAGCGGTGTTTAATTATGCGCTCCACAGTGCTTAAATGTTTGCAAGAAATAGAAGTTTTTCAAATTTCAGTATCCGTGATAACCGTAATATATTTATTTATTTTTTTGTTTATTTTTGTTCTGTAAAATGTCAAAAGCACATAAAAAATTTTAATATGCATTATCAAAGTCAAAAGTATTAATATACAAAAATGTGAATATAAATAAATTTTCAATTTGTGTGTCTGTGCTTCAGGTCCGTCTGTCCCATTCTTTTCCATACCTGTTCATCAAAGTGGAGTTAATACGCTTGCCTTATCACCAAGAACAGAGAAGGGACAAACGGAAGATAACGTTATCTCTTTGGCCAGTGGTGGAGATGACGGACAGCTGTCTCTACTGCGCATTAAGATAGATCAGGCTGAGCAGGAGAATGGAGTTGCGTCTTTACAGCTGCTTTCTCATTGGTCGATACCCCTGGCACATTCCTCCCCTCTCACTGGCTTGTGTTTATTAAGCCCCGCTCTCCTGGCGTCCACTTCACCGGACCAGCGCATGTGTTTGTGGAGTGTGGAAAGTGATGGACTCCGCCCACTGCAGGTGCGGTTTTCGCACATCGCAGATGCTGCTGGGTTGTGGGCATGGCGTAGTGAGGGGCAAGAGGGAGGGGCATGGATTGTTGTTTGTGGCCAGGGCTTACAGTTGTTTCAGTTAACTGAAAAAGAAATAGATGAAGCCGAAAACGGGAGAGCAGAAGGAGAGGAGAGAAAGAAAGTGATGTTTTCACATCAATGTTCAAGGACATGACACTAATATTAAAGTATGTGATTTATAAGAATTTTATCTGTAAAGTTTGAGATTTTTACAAAAAAAATAAAGATATATATAATATTAATTTAATACATGTGTTTGTTTTTTTTACTGTCACAGGAAAAATGAGTCTTGTGAGGACATTTGTTTTCAGTATGAAATAAGTGCATATGCAGTAACAGACATAGGTTAGACAGATTATTCTTTTCCCTTAAATTTAGATCTGTTGTCATTTTTATTAGTTTTTTATGTAGTTGTAATCAATTTTTGTTATAGTTTTTTTGTTTTAATTTAATTTAGAAAAATATTTTTAAAATCTAATGAAATTAACAAAAGAACTGCATAATTACGAAGTTAATTTTGTCATCAAAATAAGTGAATTTAAAGCATTCATATTTAATACTATAATAGTATATAAACAAGTCTTTGAGTACGCTTTGTATAAAATTCCTCAAATTATAAAAGTGATTAAATATAAATTATACATATTTGTAAATACTTAGATTTTTTTTGATGTTTCTTGTTTTTTTTCCCCCATCAACAAGGCATACAATAACAATGCATAACAAAACAACTCGCATATGCACACTTCTTATGTTTATACACACACACATACACACATTCAAATGACATTACTAAGAATAGTTGAAAATAATGAATTGAAACATTGAAAAATAGATAATGACAAAATAACAAAAATAATAATACAATAAAAAAATGCATGTTTACAAACATACAATTCACATAATATTCATATACTGTATGGTTCCCTAAGAACCACCTTCCGCTTCAGTCTAATACAGTTCGATATCTCTTTTTTTTTCCCACAATTCTATGGATGAAGTATCTATGTGTTTCCTGCTTAATGCAACAGTCCTTCTAACTAAAAAACCAAACTCCAAAATTTTTGTCTTTCCAATTGTAAGTTCCATTAGATACAAAGCAAGAATACAGAGCTTGGCATTCAAAGGGATGTTAACGTTAAACATGTCTGACATACTTTCAATTGTTGCTAGAGGCAGTGGTATAGTGTATCTTTATTATCTAAACATTTAGTAAATGCTCATATTTAATCTAGTTTGCACTTTTTTGTGCACAATTCAATTGCAATATGAATTTAATGTCTTTACTTTTACTCAGAATGTGTAAATGTGAGTACAAACTTTTAAATATCACCAAGTTTGTGTTTGTGTTAGTATATGTGAGTGTGAGTGAGTGGCTTCTGGGTTGAAGATAGATTCATGTGTGTATAATGTATCAGTGTTTTCCTGGGCTACTGGCCAACAGGTGTGTGTGTGCGAGAGAGAGAGAGAGGGTACACGGTGTGTTGGGGGGCTTTGGCTGTGCAAGCGATTATAAATATTTCACCCTCTTCTCCGGTTCCCTTTTGTTCATCATCATGGTGGCTCGATGGCCAAACCCTTTAATCCACAGCTGAAAGTATGAAAGCCTGAGCAGCACGTGAGGGGGAGATAGAAAAGCCTGAACAGAATTTGAAAAAACTGGAAGGAAATATTTTATTAAACCCGAGCACCTTGTGAATTTATTTTTACCAAAATTAAAAGAAATATGAAGAGAAGATAAGTTGAAGAACAAAAATAAGTAACGTGAGTATAAAAATAACTACTGCTTGAAGATATTTTGCAAATGCAACCAGCTTTAGTTGTTATAGTTGAGAAGTTATTTGTTTTATTCATATTTTGAACTTTTATATTTATGAATTAAATATTTTGTAATGTTTAGTTAAAATTTTGTGTGTTTTTTCCATTTTTTAAACAACATTTAATATTTATACAGTTTTTCTTTTAATTGCCAAGTTATTTTGGTACACAATGTAAACCGTTAAATATTTACTTTCATTTGGTTTACTTTGTGTTCTAAAATAACTAAACATTAACATTAAATGTTGCTAAAAAATGGCTAAAACGCATCACAAATCATGTACATATTAGCTTTGAAAATGTTATTGTTATAAAGAAATATTTAGAATTTTTATTTAATCTATAATTTACAAAAATAACAGGGAAAAAAGATTAAAAATGTAAAAATAATGGATGAAAAAAAAGAAAAAAAATGAAATAAAATATGTATGTATGTATATGTATAGTTTTATTTAATCTTCAGTAAAGAAAGATTTATCAGTGTGAATTTGTGTTTTATGAGGCTAATCTCTTTGTTGAGGGAAAAAGATGTCTCGATTCAAGGAAACGCATAAAGAGATGGATTCTAGAAAGAAGGCCACTAAGACGACACAGAAACGAAAGAAAAAGGCTGAAAATGACAAGGTAGGAGGTTTCTGCTGCACAAGCATGGCCAATCTGGTTTTTAAATACAAGTAAATATATAGTAACAGTGCATTAAAACTCAAAGTCAAAGGCTTTTTAACCCCTGCTGAATTCGAGAGAGCAATGCATGCATTTATATCCTGACATTTGGACTACTGCAACTCAATTTATATAGCTATTGGTCAATCAGTTGAAGTCAGAATTATTTGCCCCCATCTTTCTTTTCCCCCATTTTCTGTTTAATGGTGGGACGATTGTTTCAACACATTTCTAAACATAATAGTTTTTAATAACTCATTTCTAATAACTGATTTATTTTATTTTTGCCATGATGACAGTAAATAATATTTTACTAGATATTTTCATGACACTTCTATACAGCTTAAAGTGACATTTAAAGGCTTAACTAGGTCAACTAGGCTGGTTAGGGTAATTTAAAAACGTTTACAATTTTACTACTTGTTTTTAAGGTTTTAAATGGTCTTGCACCTTCATATCTTTCTGAAATTGTGACTGTTAACATATCTGCTAGATGCTTAAGGTCATCAAGTCAGAAATTGTAAAAAGTTCCCATCAAAATTAAAGTAAAAGGTAGACCCCAAATTGTGGAACGGTCTACCTCTCTCTAATCTCTACTGAATCCACGTTCAAGAGGAAACTGAAACTTCACCTTTTAGAAAAGGCTTTTAATACCAGAGCCAGCTGAGTTTGCTGTTTTATGTTGTATGTTGTTTTATTCCTTTGATCTTATTTGATCATTTTTAATACAATTTTATGTACAGCACAATGGTCAACAACTGTTGTTATATTGCGCTTTTTAAATAAAGTAAATCTAAGTCAAGCAATTAAGAACTCTTTACACAGTAATGATGATACATGTACTGTATTTTTTACAGGAAAATGGAGTGATGTCAAAAGAAAGGCTTCCTCTAATTGGTTCATCAGGCAACAGATCTGCAGGTATAGAACACACTTTACCTTCAAATGTCAGTCTATATGGAATCAGTACTGCAATTAATATGAGGCAAAATTGGTGGATGAGCAGAAATCAAATGTTTTCTGAGAACTTATGTAAAGGTTCACTGCATGCATGATATATAAACTGTTTACATTGATCTTGTCTTCACCTGTGTTACCTGAGCTCTTCAACAGACAATGCAAGTGTAAACTCAAGGAAATTTAGGAGGTGTTAAATTAATTAGCTGCTATTGTCCCAGCATTCGCCTTTGTACTTGTACTTGTTAGAAGAGATTGGAACTGAACATGTGTGAAAGGGGGATAACGAATTCTGCAAGATCCTGTTTCCTCCTCGAAGTGCTAAACTTAAAAGATAATTGCTTGAATTGAAAACGTTTTGGTGAAATCTCAATACAGATTTGCAATTGTGAGAAATTTAGTTCAAAATAGACCAAGTTGAACATCCTTTTGCCTTTAGAACCTTAATCATTATGGCATGGAGTCATCAAGATACATTAATCATTCATTCATTCATTCATTCATTCATTCATTCATTTTCTTTCGGCTTATTCCCTTTATTAATCAGGGGTCGCCGTTGCTGAATGAACTGCCAACTTATCCAGCACATGTTTTACACAGCGGATGCCCTTTCAGCCGCAACCTAACACTGGGAAACACCTATACACACTCCTTCACACACATACACTGCTAAAAAATTTGCATATTCTATTCACCTACAGTGCATGTCTTTGGACTGTGGGGGAAACCGGAGCACACAGAGGAAACCTACGCCAACACGGGGAGAACATGCAAACTCCACACAGAAATGCTAACTGGCCCAGCCGGGCTGAAACCAGCGACCTTCTTGCTGTGAGGCTATTGTGCTACCCACTACACCTCTCTGCTGCCCCATACTTCAATCATTCATCAAATACTTTGATCCAAAAAGAAGGTCGATGATTTGAGTCCCAGCTGGGTCAGTTGGCATTTCTGTGTGGAGTTTGTATGTTCTGTCCATGTTCGCATGGGTTTCCTCCAGGTGCTCCGGTTTCCTCCACAGTCCAAAGACATGTGCTGTGGGTGAATGCAGCCTTTACAATGCAAACTCAGATTGCATCACTCTCAGCAATGCAGTGTCAGACACAATGCACTCAATGGAGTGAGTGACGTCACGGTGACGGGTTGGGTTAGGGGTGAGATTAGGTGAGCGCATTAAAAAGCTAAAAGGTAAGTAAATGATGACAGACGTTTCAGTCTTGGGGTAACTTAAGTTGAAGAAACAGTTGCACTAATTGATTTTAGCTCCTGGTACCAACTAAACTTGTCATTTCCTATTGATATCAGCAGCTGCCATAACACAAGCCAATTATAACTTACTTTCTGTGTTAATTTATGGAACAAGCGTAACACTAGTATTAGCACAATTATTCCTTAATAAGACAACAGCAGTGCACTAAAAGCTGAAACATTTTCGCTTGTTCACACAGATCCACACATTTGACTTAAACACTGAGTTTTGTATGTCAGGCCAGTAGATGTTTTGTTTGTCAAACAGACATAAAACACATCAGCATAAGAAAGTTTACATTCTAATTATTTCTATATTTAAAGGGATAGTTCACCCAGAAATGAACATTTCCTCATCATTTACTTAATCTAATTGTTCTAAAGTTTTATTATTAATTTCTTTCTTCTGTTGTACACACACACACACAGGCACACACATACACACACACAGAGGTATTCTGAAGAATGTTGAAGAAAAACAGCCATTAAAATCCATAGTAGTAAGACACAATCTCGCACACAAACGCATACACACGCACACACACACACACGCACACACACAAAGAAACACTATAGAATCAATGGCTGTTTGTTTTCCAGCATTCTTCAGTTATTTTCCTTTGTGTTCCAGAGAAGAAAGAAACTCATGCAGGTTTGGAACAAGTGGAGGCTGAGTAAATTATAAATACATCAAATTCAATATAATTAATTAATATAATGTTTAATTAGGTCACACTTTATTTTTATGTTCAATTTGTTGAATTTAAGTAACATTGCATCTACATGCCAACTAATTTTTATTAGATTATAAGTAGACTGTTAGGTTGGGGTTAGTGTTAGTGTAAGTTGACATGTACTTGCAAAGTTTCTTATAGTCAGTTAAATGTCTGTTGAAAGAGCAGTATCAGCAGATGTTAAGCAGACAGTCTACTAATACTCAAATGGACCATCAAAATAAAGTGTTACCTTTTAATTTTGAATAAATTTAATTATAAGAAGAAAATAGTCTTTTGTTCTGAATGTAACATTTCTTTGTCTGCTTTACTTTCCAGCGAGGCCTTCACTCCTCACTCCTCATCACCCTCTTCAGCCCGACTCCAGAAAGCGTGGTCCTCTTCTGGTCTCTTCGGGGGCCCCTGACAGCATGGCACCATGGGAAGGCTCCTCCCACTCCGAGTCCTCCTTCAGCAGTTTCCCTCCTCCACCCTCACCGGTTCCTCTCGCCCACTCAAAGCCAATAACAGCTCCAGATCCTCCTCCTGCTCCTCCTCCTCCCTCCTCAAACCCTCAGCCTGACACAGAACACAGCACCCGGGTGAAGCGCAGGCCTGTCCCGCCACGACACCCCCCCAGACCCCCCCGGCTGCCCCCTCTCAGGCAGATCAGCAACCTCAGCTTCTCCCGCAGCTTCACCTTCTCCTTTTTCGAGCTGCCGGTTCATCAGTCTGCCAGGAGCCGCGCTGAGAGACTGCGAGATCTCACTCTGCTGCTCCGGCAGTTTCGCTACTGAGGAGAAACCTACGGCTGTAAGTGCACATCTACAGCAGAGATGCAGAGCTGTGTGCACACATTCACACCAAATGCTCAAAATGACCAGCTTATGGCTTCTGCCATGATTTATAGATGTATTATTGTAGGTTAAAGATAGACTTTGGAATGTTTAGGATTTTTATAATTTTTTTTATTTCATTTTTTGTTAAAGTTTTATTAACTTGTATACTTTGTCATTTTTTTAGTTTTTGCTTTAAAATATGTCTATATACTACCTGACAAAAGTCTTGTCGCCTAAATGAGTTTTAGGAACAACAAACATTTGGTATCAGAAGTGGCTTATATGAAAGGCAAAGGCCTTTAGTACACTTATTTTACCAAAATAAAATATGATCATGTCTTGATTTTTAATTATTTAATTAGGACAGAAGGTCTGACTTTGCTTAGACAAAAGTCTCGTCACTTAACAGAAATAATGTACAGTATATAAAAAAAAGTTATGGTGCAGTGGAAACAAAATTAATATTAGGCATGACTCTCATGAGCTTAGAGGACTGCATCCTCACATCTCTGCAATGACTCAAATAACTTATTGATAAAGTCATCTGAAATGACAAAGAAAGCGTTCTTGCAGGACTCCCAGAGATCATCAAGATTCTTTGGATTCATCTTCAATGCTTCCTCCCCCATCTTTCCCCGACATGATTAATAATGTTCATGTCTGGTGACTGGGCTGGCCAATCCTGGAGCACCTTGACCTTCTTTGCTTTCAGGAACTTCGATGTGGAGGCTGAAGTATGAGAAGGAGCGCTATCCTGCTGAAGAAATTGCCCTCTGCTGTGTTTTGTAATGTTATGGGCAGCACAAATGTCATGACACGTCAGGCTGTTGATGTTGCCATCCAGTCTGCAGATCTCTTGCACGCCCCTATACTGAATGTAACCCCAAACCATGATTTTTTCTTCACCAAACTTGACTGATTTCTATGAGAATCTTTGGTCCATGCTGGTTCCAATAGGTCTTCTGCAGTATTTGTGATGATTGATGCAGTTCAACAGATGATTCATCTGAAAAATCTACATTCTGTCACTTTTCCAAATGATCAACTAGAAGTCAAGCTATTATTATTTGCTGCTCTTACAAATGTGATCGACAACAAGACTTTTGTCAAGTAGTGTCGTTTTCATTTTTGTTTAGATTTGTTTTAATTTATTGCACATAGATTTAGTTTTTATTTAAACAAATATTTATTTTCGTTTATTCAGTTAGCATTTATTTAAGTAACAAAAATGTTCATACTTACCAAATATTGACATTAAGTTTCTGACTCAATTCTTTGTTTCTTAAAGTCTGTATGAAATCAAAATGTACAATGTTTATTTTGCTTGTGCACATTGTTTTTTGTTTAGGTGAACATTGAATCTGTGCAAGTCTGACCATTTACTTGGAAGTAGTGTTTCTTCTGTTGACGTCAGTTTGACTGCTTCTGTCAGCCATCTTTCTGTTAGTTTCAACAACATCCAGTTCATGTAATCATCTTAAATGAGACCTCCTGGAGTTAATAGAATTACTCAGAAAAATATATTTTCTTTTTTGTCAAATAAGTTTTATTTGGTCATTGAATAGACTTACAATAATCACAAATTCCAGGATTCATTTTCTGATATGCATAAACTTACAAAAACAAAACAAAACCAAAACCCCAACCCAACCCCAGCCTGTAAGTGTACAATACAGTGATAATCAAAACAACTTTTTAGTTCAAAATATATTTTCTAAATTGATACATACAGAGCCGTTTGATTTATTTGCAGTATTTAGAGCAAGTACGTTATACTCACTTTCTTTCGGCTTATTTCCTGATTTATTTACAGTGGAATGAACCACTAATTGCATTAGTTTTACACAGCGAATGCCCTTCCAGCTGCAACCCAACATGGAGAGTATACAATCCTCAGTGCTGGGAAACACCCTCACAGTCTTTCATTCTCATGTCTGTGAACTGTACATTATAAGCAACATTATTTAATGTACCTGTTAATGAACTGTAATCTCTTTACCTTGTCAGTGGATAAGTAATGTTATTACAGTAATTAACTAGACAGTAAAGTTCGTCGAGACAAACTTTGAGGCTGGCTTGACAAAGCCTGTTGGTAATAGTTTATTTAGTTTAAAAACAGTTTGAAAAAGTATAAGTAGCATGTTATTAGCATGATTCTAGCATGCATTAGCATGATTCTAGCATGGATTAGCATGCTATTAGCATGAGTGTAGTACAAATTAGCATTTTATTAGCATGATTCTAGTATAAATTAGCATGTTATTAGCATGCTTCTAGCATGAATTAGCATGTTACTAGCATGATTCTAGAATAAATTAGCATGTCACTAGCATAATTCTAGTATGAATTAGCATGCCTCTAGCATGATTCTAGCATGAATTAGCATGTTACTAGCATGATTCTAGCATGAATTAGCATGTTACTAGTATGATTCTAGCATGAATTAGCATGTTACTAGCATGATTCTAGTATGAATTAGCCTGTTACTATCATGAATCTAGTATGAATTAGCAGGTTATTAGCATGATTCTAGCATGAATTAGCATGATTCTAGTATGATTTGGCATGTTACTAGAATGATTCTAGCAAGAATTAGCATGTTACTCGCATGATTCTAGCATGAATTAGCATGTTATTAGCATGATTATAGTATGAATTAGCATGTTACTAGCATGATTCTAGCATGAATTAGCATGTTACTAGTATGATTCTAGCATGAATCAGCATGTTACTAGCATGATTCTAGCATGCATTAGCATGTTACTAGCATGATTCTAGTATGAAGTAGCCTGTTACTATCATGAATCTAGTATGAATTAGCAGGTTATTAGCATGATTCTAGCATGAATTAGCATGATTCTAGTATGAATTAGCATGTTACTAGAATGATTCTAGCATGAATTAGCATGTTACTCGCATGATTCTAGCATGAATTAGCATGTTATTAGCATGATTATAGTATGAATTAGCATGTTACTAGCATGATTCTAGCGTGAATTAGCATGTTATTAGCATGATTTTAGCATGCATTAGCATGTTACTAGCATGATTCTAGTATGAATTAGCATGTTATTAGCATGATTCTAGTATGAATTAGCATGTTATTAGCATGATTGTAGTATGAATTAGCATGTTACTAGCATGATTCTAGTATGAATTAGCATGTCACATAGCATGCTTAGGTGGTTGCTAGGGTATTCTGAGTGGTTGCTAAGTCGTTGCTAGGCAGTTGCTAGGGTGTCCTGAGTGGTTGCTAGGTGGTTGCTAAGATGTTGCTAGGCGGTTGCTAGGGTGTTGCTAGGTGGTTGCTAGGGTGTTCTGAGTGGTTGCTAGGTGGTTGCTAAGGCATTGCTAGGCAGTTGCGAGGGTGTTCTGAGTGGTTGCTAGGTTGTTGCTAGGCAGTTGCTAGGGTGCTCTGATTGGTTGCTAGGTGGTTGCTAAGGTCTTGCTAGGCGGTTGCTAGGGTGTTCTGTGTGGTTGCTAAGATGTTGCTAGGTGGTTGCTAGGGTGTTCTGAGTGGTTGCTAAGGTGTTGCTAGGCGGTTGCTAGGGTGTTCTAAGTGGTTGCTAGGTTGTTGCTAAGGTGTTGCTAGGGTGTTCTGAGTGGTTGCTAGGTGGTTGCTAAGGTGTTGCTAGGTGGTTGCTAAGGAGTCCTAAGTGGTTGCTAGGCGGTTGCTAGGTGGTTGCTAGGGTATTCTGAGTGGTTGCTAAGGCGTTGCTAGGCGGTTGCTAGGGTGTCCTGAGTGGTTGTTAGGTGGTTGCTAAGGTGTTGCTAGGTGGTTGCTAGGATGTTCTGAGTGGTTGCTAGGTCGTTGCTAAGGTGTTGCTAGGCGGTTGCTAAGGTGTCCCAAGTGGTTGCTAGGTGGTTGCTAAGGTGTTGCTATGTGGTTGCTAGGGTATTCTGAGTGGTTGCTAAGGCATTGCTAGGCGGTTGCTTGGGTGTCCTGAGTGGTCGCTAGGCCCTTACTAAGGCATTACTTGGCCGTTGCTAGGTGGTTGCTAGGCGGTTGCTAGGGTAATTTGGGTGGTTGCTAGGCAGTTGCTAGGGTACCCTGGCTGGTTACTAGGCAAGCCTCACATACATGCTTGATAAAACATTTATACTTAGTAAGCATTTCTAGCAAGTTACAGTACTTGGCTAGTCAATATTAGCATGTAGCTAATCACTGCTAGCATGTGTAGCATATAGGAAGTTCCGTTTGCTAGCATTAGTCAAACAAGCCAATCCCCAAGTCTCTACGATGTTCCGATGCTGGGATATAGCTGTTGATGAATGGTTGTTAGGGTACTCTGTTTTGTTGCTATGGGCGAGGTTACAGAGTGAACTTGAATGTGGTTGGCTGTCTAAGTCAAATGAACCAACTCCCATGTCTCTATGACACTGCTATGCAAAGATATGCATCTTGGCCTATTTTAATGGAAGTCTATGGAATCAATTTGGGGGCGTGGCTTGTGAGCTTCATTATCATATTGAGATGCTCATTGGTTGTGTGAGTCAGATGAGCCATCCCCCAAGTCAATAGGACACTGCTAAGCAAAGATATGCATGTAGGCCAGTTATTAACGTGAGTCTAGTATGAATTAGCATGTTACTAGCATAATTCTAGTACAAATTAGCATGTCATTAGCATGTTTCCAGTATGAGTTAGCATGTCATTAGCATGATTAGCATATGAGTAGCATGTTGCTAGCATGATTGGCATGTCATTAGCATGTTAGAATTATAAGCATTTAATAGCACAGCTAATTACAGTCTATAGGACAGTTGCTAGGGTGCAGTATGTGGTAGTTAGGGGTGTGGCTAGAAAGTTAAAAGGCCATCAGTGATTGGCTGCTGGCTAGACTGAGTTAAATGAGCTCAGCCATTAGTCTCTATGACAGTCTGATGCAGAGTTATGAGCTCACAAAGTTTGATCCCATGTTAAGTCAATGAGAGTCTTTTGTAATGGAAATCTACGGGACAGTTGCTAGGGTGCAGTATGTGGTAGTTAGGGGTGTGGCTAGAAAGTTAAAAGCTCATCAGTTATTGGCAGTTTGGTAGTCTGAGTTAAATGAGCTCAGCCATTAGTCTGTAGGACAGTCTGATGCAGAGTTATGAGCTCATAAAGTTTGATCCCATGTTAAGTCAATGAGAGTCTTTTGAATAGAAGTCTATGGGACAGTTACTAGGGTCAAAAAGTGGTTGCTAGGGCGTGGCTAGAAAGTTTAAAGGTGATTAGTCATTGGCAGTTTGATAGTCTGAGTTAAATGAGCCCAGTTAGAAGTCTGTGTGACAGTCTGACGCAGAGTTATGAGCTCACAAAGTTTGATCCAATGTTAAGCCTATGGGATTTTTCCGACAGTCCCGGGACGTTTTTCGGAAAACCGAAAGTCGGATCAGTCTGAGGAGATATAGCAACACGAGTCAGAATAGTTTGGAGGTCTGGAGCAAGTTTGGTGGTAATAGCTCAAAAGCTCTAGGAGGAGATAGAGTCAGAAATTTAGTCTCAGAAGAATAATAAAAAATATAATAATAAGTTTAAATAGCATTTCAGTAGTCTGGCTTTGACAAGCCAGCCTAATTACTTTGTAACTAACTAGTTACATCAAACACTGTTAGCAATGTTGAAAATCACGTTTGTTGAAACAAATGTTTTTAATTTTTAGATTTTTTGATGAATGGACTGTTTAAACCAGTTTTTATTTCAGTATTTGTTTTGTTTTAATAAAATGGTGGAATAAAGTAGTGGAAAAATATATACTGAGTAATGGAATTTCCCCACTTTTTTCATGCATTTGTAAAAGGCTCATTACATGTATATTTAGAGCATGTGTGGGTGTGAGCTTTTACTACTGTTTTTGGCATCTGATGTTAAGCACGGTCACCTCCTATAAACCAATGGAGCACAGAACTGCAGAAAATGACCACAGAGATTATTATGCAGGGTGAAGAAAACACAAGACAATATTAAAGAACAAAAAACAATAATACAAGAGAGTTCATCCATTCCACAGGTGTCCTGGGGTTTAGTTGATCTGCTCAGGTCATGTGCACAGGGGTAGTAAAGTGGTTTCCTCAGGACAGACGGGACAGAATTCAGGGAACTCTCTAGACAAGGTAAGAAACTAATTGATGATAAGCTTATTTTCTTTTTATTACAGCTTTCTTGCGCAGTCACCTGTCCTCACGTGTGCAGCTTTCATCTCTTATCAGTTTGGCTTTTTGATGTACTTACACACTTTAACCCGTCAGTCTCCACTTTAATCAGTTACACTAAATAAAAATGAGATATATGTCCACAGTTATGTAATAAATTTGTTGTATGTACTTGCTTGTTAAATGTATATTGTGGCAACATTGCTTTCTGAAGCATTTATTTTTTCATCACACAAATAAGGCTTTAATCAATAGTCTTAAACTGTAAATTAGTTTTCAGTAGATAGATATAATACACACACAAAAAAATGTTGGGTTGTTCAATCCAAAGTTGGGTCAAATGCAGACAAACTTTAATGTTGAGTTATTTTTGCAATTAAATTTGGGTTTGTCCATAATAACACTAACAGTTAACCAGACATTTTTAGTGAGTAGACAACTTTTTTGTTAAATAAGCATTTGTTGAAGAGTTCTGCATGTTCTCATTGGATATTACAGCCGTGCCTCCCACAAGGAAACTTTATAATTGGCCAGTCATTATCTGGGGAACATTATTAAATGAAGTACTTCAGTAAAAGCAGCGACAGGTTGAGCACCAGCCCTCGCTCATGTGATGTTGTGTAATATGATCTCTGCTCTCAGGAGTGGCCGATTAAAATCTTTCACCTTTGGTCGAAGACAGGCGCTTTCACTGATCTCAGGATAAATGCTGGATTACAGACTGTAAATAACCCTTCGAAGACACTTAATTATCAATATCTTCAATTACAGCCACTGTTAACTTGTGAGGCCGGTTAATAATCGACGATTTGTTCCAATAGTTCATGTCCTCAAAAATAATCTCTGTTTATGACTTTATATTTTATCCACGGTTTCTCGTGTTCACAGATGGACAATGAGGGTTTTTCGCCGAGTGACAACAGTGTCAGTGTGGTTTATGGTTTAAATGAATCCCATCTCGACATCCAGGGGCAGCGCAGGCCGAAGCAGAGGCGCTCAGTTTGGGGGAAACTGAAGGAGGAGCGCTGGTAAGTCCGGGATGTCGGGTGTCTGTAGAAAGTTTATTTAAGCACCAGAAAGAGACGGTAATGTGTGTGTTTTTGTGGTTCAGGTGTTCATGGGCGAGGCTGAGGATGTGTGTTCTGTCTGCAGCTCCACTGCTGTCATGGCTGCCGCGGTACTCGATTAGGAGAGACGCGCTCGGAGATCTGATCTCGGGCATCAGTGTGGGGATCATGCATTTACCGCAAGGGAAGGACGTTCATCTGGGATAGTCCTATAGCTATTTGTTATGTAGATGTTAAAGTAGTTGACAAAAGTATAGTACTTCATTGGTATTTCTTTAAGTGAATAAAATAAAATTAGATAAACATATTAATAAATAGCAACAAAATAAAGCAATAATATATGAAAGAATCAACAAACCAGACACATCTGTTTTACAATTTGTTTTGCTTTTTTTTTTTGCAAATAAACACAAAAAAGTTATAAAAATATATAAATAACAAAATACTTTAACTCTAAAACATAGGCTATATAAAGTACAGTATTAAATCAAATATTAATTTCAAATATGAAAAGTTAAACATTACAAACTATGGTAAAGCATTGAAATGTAGCTACATATTAAATTATATTGTACTATATATATGTGTGTATACACACACACACACACACACACACACATATATATATATATATATATATATATATATATATATATATATATATATATATATATATATATATATATATATATATATGTATATATATATAAATATACAAAATTATATATTTTTATATATTTTACAAAGTTATATACAACGGAGCATATAAATAAATGCAATTAAATTGTCTATTTTAATGTATCAAGCAACTTTTGTCAATCTTTGTAAAAATTATCCATTATTTTCAATCAGGGGTGCGTGCGTGCGTTTCAATTTTCTTTTACAGGAAAAAAAAACACTTTCTGTCTCTGACCCACATATGACACACAACAAATTTATTTAGTTGAATAAAGCCTTTTCTCAGTACAGGTGTCAATGCTGATTTGAGTCTTTTTTTGAGAGTGCAAGCACTTGAAATGTCAGCTCTGTCGACACCTACAGATCTGCTTTATCGCCTGGCAGCCAATAATTTCCTCCACAATGCACTGTGTTTGAAATCAGACTGATAATGTGGACAAAATGACTAATTCTATTGTACTGAACTGCACACACGTCTCTGCACACAAACTGCTCATTTTCTGTCTTGTTTTTCTCTTGTAGGGATGGCTAATGCTCTGCTGACTGCCGTTCCTCCTGTGTTTGGACTGTATTCATCTTTCTACCCTGTTCTTGTCTATTTTGTGTTTGGTACATCAAAGCACATCTCTGTGGGTGAGTGAACAAACACTCTGCAGGTGCATTTCCATTGTGTTTTCTTGGCAAACAAAAAATGGATATGAAAGGAATAATGCCATAAAGCGAAATCTTGTTATATGCTGATTTGTTATATATATATATATATATATATATATATATATATATATATATATATATATATATATATATATATATATATATATATATATATATATATATATATATATGGTAACACTTTACAGTAAGGTTCATTAGTTAATGCAATTACTAACAAACAGATGAACTAATCGTGAACAACACATGTACAGCATTTATTAATCATAATTGAACATTTACTAATGCATTACTAACATCCAAGTCCATGCTAGTTAACATTAGTTAATGCACCATGAGTTAACATGAACTAACAATGAACTACTGTATTTTCATTAACTAACGTTAACTAACAAGAACAAATACAGTAGTAAATGTATTGTTCATTGTTTGTTCCCCTTAGTAAATGCATTAACTAATGAACCTTATTGTAAAGTGTGACCATATATATATATATATATATATATATATATATATATATATATATATATATATATATGTATTTTTATCCCCAGTACTGCGTTTTGGCTGGAAGTGCATCCACTGCGTAAAAAGCCCGGAATAGAGAATTAAAAGAAAATTCTGCAGACTCCACACAGAAACACCAACTGACCGAGCCGAGGCTCAAACCAGTGACCTGCTTGCTGTGAGGCGATAGTGCTACCCACTGCGCCACCGTGCAGCCTATGATATAACATATATAATGTAAATAAATATCTATTTAACTAATATATAATTCTAAATAATAAATAATGACCAAAAAGGTCAAAAATTGCAATAACAAAACAAATACTTACATAAATTAAAGTTTAAAAATAAGTCTATATCAGCTATATATAATCAAAATAGTCAAATATAATGAAGGATAAAATGTGTATAATTTAAAAATAAAATAAATAAAATACAGAAAAAAAAGTATTTATTAAACAAAAAAATATTAATGCAAAACAAAATGTATTATAAAATGTACAAGAAAATATGCTATTAGATACATTTTATAATAAATAAATAAAATAGCAAAGATTAATTGCATCTTAAACATAATTTATCATTAGTTTAAATTTTATTTTACAGTCCATCAAGTTTTCCATCAGATTTTAAATGATTACTCTGAAAATCTGTCTGATCCTCAGGCACTTTTGCCATCATGTCTGTGATGGTGGGCACAGTCACAGCTGATGTGCTTCTCCCCGGCAGCAGCAGCACAGAGAATCAACATGCTGATAGTGCTCGTGTGGCTCTTGCGTCTCAGCTGACCATCCTGTGTGGGCTAATACAGGTAAACACACACACCAGCTGTATGACCTCAGCCTTAGTGTGTTTGTATAGACCATTTTAAGGGGTGTAAACAAAAACAATGTTCCCAGCGTATTTCCTGTTTTACATTTTTTATTTCTATAGCTTCTGAGAATCTAAAAAGAGCCACATATTGATATATAATGTTATGAAAGCTGTTTTAACATTAAGTTATGATTGAATTGCCTCTTGTTACAGTTAAGAAATAGTTCGATAACAAGCAGGAAAATGTTCATGGGCCAATTACTGTACATGACCACATTGGGTCTCACATTGGGTCTCTCTCTCTGCTCAGATTGTGCTGTATGTGTTGCGCTGTGGAGGAGTGTGTCGATGGTTGTCCAAGCCGCTGGTCAGTGGATACACCACAGCCGCAGCCGTCCATGTGGCCATAAACCAGCTGCCTTTACTGATGGGCATCTCAATCCAGAGGCATAGAGGCCTGCTGACTGTCGTCTGGGTGAGCATCAGTCAATATTCGGTTCCCAATCTTTTTTTTTTTTATCTTCAAAAATAAAAAGTGTTCAAAGTTTGTTTTAAATTATGTCACTAAATGAGTTCATGTGACTGAATTGCAGGCTGAGTAAATGAAAAGCCACTGTGCCATGTCACCATTTACAAAATCATGCTACATATTCTAAGGATTCATTAAAGAGCCCATATTGTACATGAAAAAGGGTCATATTTCGGTTTTATGGGTCTCCAACAACAGTCTGATATGCACGCAAGGTCAAAAAACACTTTCATGGTCTTATAATATGCATTTATTTTAACCCATTTATCCCAGCGACTCCCATATGAATCGTTCAGTGATACATTTCTTCCCAAACCCCTCCTTAGCGCGAAGCTAATCTGCGCTGATTGGACCGATGACAGCCTGTTGCGATTGGTCGACAGCGTTCACCGCTAGATAAATGCCCGGCGTGAGACAAATGCCCAGCGCGGTTTGTCAAGCCCCTGGCGGACGGGCACGCGCGATAACTCCGTGACCGTCATAACCCCCCGCACGGGAAGTATGAATGGCACTTAGCAGTGAAAATGAAACCGATTCACTTTTCTAAGCTGTAACTTAGATCATTTCTATTTGCAATTATTGCTGTGGCACCTCTTGCGTGAAGTGTTATATGTTCTCAGGGCTTACCTGTAATCTGCTTTGCCCAAAGATCCCATCCCCAGCCAGGGGGATTGTAGTGCTCACCAGCGTGTAGCAGGCTGCCTTTGTGCCTAATAAACTGGCCTTATTTTGCACGCACCCCTGGTGTATTGTCTGCCCATTCTCACAAGTCTCATACACCAGTCTTTTCTAATCCTTCCTTTAACAAATGAATTAATCGCCCACTGTAAGTGTGTAGACTGCTGAATCAATTATTTCCCCTCACACTTCCAATAATATCCTGGTAAGCACAGCATCTTCTTGACTCATGACTTCAGGATCTGTTTGTTTTCTCGGCTGTGTTAGTGGGCGGGACGCAGGTTTAAACTTTCCCGGGTTTGCGCCCAAAACAACTATGTTTCGTAGTCACGTCACACCGAAACGGCTAAAGACTCATTATGAAGACAATTCATTTTAACCACTGAGTCGACTCTTTTTTTTAGATGAATCAATAGTTTTAAAACTGTCCACTTTCAGGTTTAAGCCTTAGCTGGATATTTCACTGCACTTAGATCTGTGTTACACACTACATGCAAGCTCATTTTCGAAAACCCACAATAGGGACTCTTTAATATTCATATGTTATTATTATTTATCTCACATACACCATTTCTTATTGATAAAAACTGGGAGTTGACTCATATGCAACTATTACAGAAAGGTCAAACACTCATTGATGCTCCACAAGGAAAACATATTGGGAGGGGGTAAAAACTTTTGAACCGAATGTAGATGCTTTAATGTAGTTTTGTAGTTTAGAAGCTACAGAAAATACTTGCATGTCGATAAAACATTTCCCAGATGTCAAAGCGAGTTAAATTCACCCAGATCTTCCAATTTAAAACACATTATCTCCCCTGGCTGAATGAATTGTTTTCTTTTTCTGAAGAAGAATCATAAGAGTCCCTCAGTTGTCCTCAGTGATCCCAAAATCATAAAATGCTAAAAAACCAAAGAATTTGTGGAACCTGAAGGACTTTTGCTGAAGAACAGCAGCGATTGAACTGATGAAATGATGAACTCGTGAACAACCATCAGTAAACAAAAACAAATACAACTGCTGGTCATTCAGAGAACAATCAAATGCGTGTAAACTATTATTTTCTCTTGTGGACTATACGCTACGTGCTGAATTCCTTAATTTTTTTACCCTAATAAATAAAGTAGTGTCAGGATCCTCACTATATTTCTGAGTTAGAGTTTTGTTTAGGATCGTATTTTGGCTGGGCCAGTTGGCATTTCTGTGTGGAGTTTGCATGTTCTCCCTGTGTTCACGTGGGTTTCCTCCGGGTGCTCTGGTTTCCCCCACAAGTCCAAAGACATGGGGTTAATGTGAATTGGATAAGCTACTGTACATCCGCTGTGTAAAACATATGCTGGATAAGTTGGCAGTTCATTCCGCTGTGGTGACCCCTGATTAATAAAGGGAATAAGCCGAAAAGAAAATGAATGAATAAATGAGATAAATTAAACAAATGCAATGACAAAACTAAATCCTCTTCCTTATTCTTCATTGAGAACAAGGTTCTTAAGACTTACAATATACAGAAGGCTGTTAAAGCAGACTTCTAGTCTCTATGCTCCAGCCTTTTATACATTATTCATGCCCATGAACTTAAAATGTATGAGATAAATTAAAATGAGATTAAAAATGTATGTATTACTCTTTCTACAAATGTTAATCAAACCATTGTAATGAAATGACTTTGCTATGTAAATAGAGAAAATAAATCCTTTTCATCTTTAAAGCAAAGTAATAAGTCCTTCTGCACGAACTAGGGTTATACACTTTTATGGTCTACTACAATCATACAGTAAGATATATGTGTCAGGAAGCACAGTTAAGCATAGCAAAGCATTTGTTTATCAGCTCTTGGGCAGGTCGCTCAAGGTCTTCTCATCCAGGGCCATTGTTCCTAATCGGTGAAGAACATCCTCCTCTCCTGATAAGTCTCCCAAACTTCCTCTAGTCTTCGATTGCAGTAATTTAAAATGAGCTTCCGTTGAACAATGTGTTCCCCTTTACTGTAACTATTAAACTGACCATCTTTAGTAGATCACCCTTGACCTCTGCAAACTCTCTGTTAAGATGTCTCTGCCGTCTCTTACACTCAAAAAAATATGTTTGCTGTTTGTTCAAGCTGCTTATTTGAAATGAGCTGAAACAACACTAATCTTGAGGTATTTTTGGGACAGCTTGATTGTTTTATGTTCAATCTATTCAAATTTGTAATAAACTAATGAGATAACTTAAGTTTTTGATGTGGGCGATGCGGTGTGCAGTAGGTAATGCTGTCGCCTCACAGCAAGTAGGTCGCTGGTTCGAGCCTTGGCTGGGACAGTTGGTGTTTCTGTGTGGAGTTTGCATTTTCTCCCCGCGTGGGTTTCCTCCGGGTGCTCCGGTTTCCCCCACAGGCCAAAAACATGCGGTACAGGTGAATTGGGCAGGCTAAATTGTCCGTAGTGTATTTTTGTTAATGAGTGTGTATGGATTCCCAGAGATTGAAGGGCATCCGCTGCATAAAACATATGCTGGATAAGTTGGCGGTTTATTCTGCTGTGACCACCTCGGATTAATAAAGGGACCGAGCTGAAAAGAAAATGACTGAATAAATGAATGAAGTTTTTGATGTTGCCCCAACACAAATCAATTGTGTGAAAGCTAAGATAAATTTTTTAGTGTATGCTTCTAGTCTCTAATAGCTGTTTCAGCAAGGCATAGGAATATCCGAATATGTAAGTAATGTTTTGTGTCTCTTACAATTAATGTCATTAAACCATCCAAAGACCACAGTAAACATCTTTTTTTTTGTGAAATATCTTCTTATATAAAATTATTCACATTTTGCAGATTTTGCAAGGTATGTGTGTAAACTATATATAATTAGTCGTGTAAACAAATTGTTGATGCAGTGAGTTTCTTTATTGTATAAGAATTGCATATGTAGCCATTATTATTGTACATTTCTTTACAATCCTCAGACTTCCTGGCTGTGGCCATGGCTGAATGCTCATGTGTGTCTTTCAGATGTTTTCCAGCATCGTGTCTGGGATCAGAAGAGTTTTACCGGCGACACTGGTGGTCTCCTTCATCTCACTGGTGGTACTTGTTGGTGGCAAGATGGTGAATTCACGCTGGAGCACTCGATTCCCTGTTCCATGGGAGCTGGTGCTGGTGGGCACACACACAAACTAACTCCACAATATTTTTTTTCGATTATTTTAGTTCTTGCTGGTCATGAGAAATTAGAAAGTATTGAGTCCTTAATTGAGTATTCTTTGGAATCAGAATGGTTTTACTTATTCTCAAAAACAAACAAGGAATATTTTTTTTATTTACAAAGAAATAAAAAGAAATAACATAAAAATACTTTTTTATTAATTATTTATTTATCAATAAATTTATTGTTTATGATATATATGAATTGTTAAACAAGATTTTGTGCAATATTTACATTGTTGACTGCTTTAACACATGTTTATTTCTGTAAAAATAAGAAACTAAAATATATATATACATAATAAGTTGCATTTTAAGGTTACAGAGACCATAAACATATAATACTGTATTGTTTATGACGATAAAAAACAGCTAGCAGCTAATGTGCTAACTATATATAAGAGCTGCGGAAAAAAATGGTTTTATGCCTAGATGTTTTAGTGCATAGAGATCTGTAAACATTAACAAATCTTATTTTATTTACATATAATTAATATAAGTAATTCATTTTTCAGGCTTTTCAGACTTAGTCTCTATTTCAGAGGTCGCCACAACGGAATTAGTCGCCAACTATTTCGGCATATGTTTTCTTCCAGTCGCAACCCTGTACTGGGAAACACCATAAACAATCAATTCACCAACAGCACATGTCATATGTTTGTTATATTGTTTGTTTTAATATAAATACAGCCGCTCATTGTTTGTTCACATTAGCTTTTGATTTTAAAATAGCTTGACATGTTGACATGATATTACCCATGATTAATAAATGCTTTAAAACAGTTTTGTTTTTATTGTTAATGCAGTTTACTAATGTTAAGAAACGTAACTGTATTCCAAAGTGTTTGAATAACTTTAGTAACTCTGACTGTATCTTTCCAACACTAATATGGTTTCTTAATGTTTCTAGATTATCTTTGCCACTCTGTCATCAGTGCAGTTGGATTTGTCGGGTCAGTATGGAATACAGATCATTGGACCCATACCGACCGGGTCAGCACAGTGCCATATCTCTTTACAAAACCATTAGCACCAAGTATTTAGGTTTTAAAACTAATTCTCTCCCTTCTACCTTCCTCTCTTTTATTTGTCCCATTTTCTCGATTTATGTTGATCTCGAAGTCTGTCACCTCCCTCCCTTCCATCATTTTCCTTCTCTCAGGAGCTGGTGTCAACAGCTCTTGCGCTGGCGGTGGTTGGCTATGGTTTCCAAGCTTCACTAGGCATGATGTTTGCTCATAAACACGGGTATCCCTTTCACAGCAATCAGGTAATTTGTAAATTTAACAGTTTGTTTCTATAGTGTAGATGCTCATATTGTAGCGCCCCCTCTGTCATATGATGAATAGTCTCTCCCTCCTGTAGGAGCTGTTGGCGATGGGTCTGTGTAACTCTATTGGGGGGGTGTTCCAGTGTTTTCCAGTAAGTGGATCCATATCCCGCAGCACAGTGCAGGAGAGCACAGGAGGGAAAACTCAGGTGAAAAACAATCTTGTGTTACTGTCAGATGTACTGTACATGCATAACAATTTTCTTACTGTTTGCAAAAAAAAACATATCATCTGGGAGGATTGCATTCCTGTCTGAATGCAAGAATGTGAATGCTTCTATACTTTCAGTTGTAATACATTCGTACAATATTTAACATACTTCAGTAAGTTTCAGAATAAATTAAGTACATACTACCCTGAGGGGGAAAATATTTTGTACGCACTGCTTTTTATTGCTAATTTGAGTGATGTGTTTTCTGTTTATGTTGGAAACCAGTTGCTCTAAATCAGTGATCACCAAACTTATTCCTGGAGGGCTGATGTCCTGCAGATCTTAGCTCCAACCCTTATCAAACACACCTGAACAAGCTAATCAAGGTCTTGCTAGGTATACTTGTAACATCCAGGCAGGTGTGTTGAAGCAAGTTGGAGCTAAACACTGCAGGGACACCAGCCCTCCAGGACTGAGATTGGTGACCCCTGCTCTAAAACATCTCGCTGAGATGGAGAGAATTATTATGTTCTTTCAGAATTTGTATGTAACTTGTTTTGTTTCAGCAATTAATACTTTTCTACAGCCAGGATGCACAAAATTGATCAAATATGACAGAGTATAAAGGTTTTCTGCTACAAAAAATACATCAAGATTTCCAGAACAAAGTAATCAGCCCAAATGTGTGATGAAATGTACTTTAGAATGAGTTATCAGTTGCTCGACTGGATTCTACATAGGCAGTGATTACATGAAACATTATAGATTTTAATAAATAGATAGTTCACCCAAAATTGAGAATTCTGCCATTGTTTATTAACCCTTTACTTGTTCCAAACCTGTTTGAGTTTAATCCTTTTTTGAACACAAAAAGAAGATATTTTAAAGCAAGCTAGAAAACTGTAACCATTCACTTTCATTGTAAGAAAAACATATACCATGAAAGTTAATGGTTACCGCTTTCCAGCTTTCTTCAAAATATCTTCTTTTGTCTTTAACTTAAGGGTTGAGGGTGAGTAAATTGTGAGTTAATTTTTACTTTTTGGTGAAATAGGTTTAAAACTGCTAAGATTGAGACAATAGCTATTTTTATTCCTTATTTTTATTGAATTTTCTATTGAGTTGAAACCAATCTTTACTGTAAAAAGGCCTACTTTTAGATAAAGGTCAATGTAGTAAAACTTTTATTCTGTCTTTTTTTTCCTCAGATGTCTTCTCTTGTGTCTTCACTAGTAATTCTGTTGATTTTGCTGAAATTAGGCCCACTTTTTCAGCAGCTACCAAAGGTCCTTTTTCCTCCTTCAATTAGAAAGTATTTATTATATAAAGCATGCTTTTATGGTGACTTTTTGTTTGTTCCAGACAGTTTTGGCTGTCATTATTTTAGTGAATCTCCAAGGGGTTTTTGCACAAGTGAAAGAAGTGCCCAAGCTTTGGAATACAGACCGCATGGACTTGGTAAGTATACTTAACTGACAAAAGTATACCTCTATCAGATTTCAGCTCCGGCCTCTGATCCAAGGTGTTTCCTGTGTGTGCTTCCCACTGAGGCTGCAGGTAGTGTGGGTAGTAACGCTGCTCAGTGCCCTGGTGTTTAATCTGGACCTGGGGCTCGGCATTGCAGTTGTGTTCTCTCTCCTGACCATCGTCTTCAGGATACAAAGGTGAGTCATCTGCATATTTATCTGTAATATTTATTTTCTCATCGTTCTCATACTAACACTTGTTCTTTTGCTTTCTGAATAATCTCAGGGCGAAGTCTGCGATTCTTGGGCATATTGCTGGCACAGACTGTTACAGAGATCTGGATAAATACTCAAAGGTAGTGTACACATAATGACCTTCTAAAAACAAGGTTCAGCGGCGCAGTGGTGCAGTGGGTAGCAATGTCGCCTCACAGCAAGGAGGTTGCTGGTTCAAACCTTGGCTGGGTCAGTTGGCATTTCTGTATGGAGTTTGCATGTTCTCCCACATGTTCACGTGGGTTTCCTCCAGGTGCTCCGGTTTTCTCCACAGTCCAAAGACATACACTATAGGTAATTTGAATAAACTAAATTTGAGTGTGAATGTAAGAATGTATGGGTGTTTCCTATTGTTGGGTTGCAGCTGAAAGTGCATCCGCTGCGTAAAGCATATGCTGGATAATTTTGTGGTTCACTTTGCTGTGGTGTCCCCAGATTTATAAAGAGACTAAGCTGAAAAGAAAATGAATGAATGAAAAATAAAACAAACAACATCAAAAACAATTCTGAGGGGGAAAACATAAACAAAACAAATAAACAAGCAAACTTGACTGGGCAAACACAACACTGAAGCACACTGCCACATAGAATACAAGAGTACATAAGAAATAAAAATTACCATGCACTCACACATGCTACATGCGTGTTCCGATGCCAACGCCAACCAAAACCAACTAGACTGGACTGCTGAGAATGAAAACACCATCCGGAAAACAAAACAACAAACCCACCAGGACAAGAGTGTGCATCCCGAGCACGCCTGGACCTCACCGCAGCCAAGACGGCGCTCATACAAAGACGAAGACAGACAATGACAGGAAATATATGTGCTTGACCAGAAAAAACTCGAGCCGAGCACAACATTCTAGACAAGGCAGGACTAGTGTCTGGACTCTGCCACCAAAACAAGGATTAACAAGATCGAAGTGGCAGAATCCTGACAGTAACCAGCACATATTTCTGATAAAATATATTTATAAGGTAATTATTAGTCACTCAACTGGATTCTACACTCTGGTATCTGCAGATATCCCTGAATAATCAGCTAGTGATATTATTTTTAAGTAATGTAATGTCCTGTATCGGTAAACATAGTATTATAATACAAAACGTGTTCATTTTTCTATAGCATTTAAGTATCTACAGTATGCATGTTCTTTGGAGTAATTAGACTGAAGTAATGATTAACTATTAAAAAATGAGACTGTATTTTTGAACAAATATATGTATCGTAGGAGTCATGTAGTAAAACTATAATACATGCTTATAATTTAATGAATTTTGTGGGTTTTAGGCAATCCAGGTGCCTGGAGTGACTGTGTTCTCCTGTTTTAACCCACTTTACTATGCAAATGCAGATCAGACCTTCACATCACTTAAACAGGTACAACCTTCATTATATCTTCCTGCTTTCTATTTTAAGTTTTAACAGATTTTTATCTGTTTTTATTTTTTATTATTTGTTTTTAATTTCCTTTTGCTTATCTCTTTTATTCCTGTGTATTTAAAGTACTTTGAATTGCCACTGTGTATGAAATGTGCTATTTAAATAAACTTGCCTTGCCTATATCTTTCATTTCTATGTGCTATATATTAAGGCAGTCACTAAAGGCATTAAGGAGAATCCAGAAATGTGTCCTCCAAATCAGCAGGGGGCTTCAAGTGCCCAACATTGTGTGATTCTGGAGCTCAGCGGTGTCACCTTCATGGACTCGGTGGCTATGGGCTCATTTAAATCAGTCAGTGGCACAAAAAAGCACATAACCACACGCAGAAGTGATTTATTTTCACCGGAGAAGAGCAGAATTGGTTACCCATTACTGACTCTCATTAACTCCTCACCAATGAATAATAGCTGAGATTCTGCATGTCATTGTGTGTGATTTAAGTTTGAGCGCAGACGTGCGTGTCTTACTGCTCTCTCTGGGTCACAGGTGCTGCAGGACTTTGAGAACAAGCAGACTTTGTTTTTCTGTGCTGCATCTCCAGGTTATGCATCTCACACGTTCAATTTTGTATTTATTTGTACTGTGGCTTTCAGTGGGAGTTTAACCATGTTTTACACATTTAAGACGAGACAGTGCAAGCATTTTTATCATGCACCTGTCTATTTTGAGATTTAGGGCTTTCAGGGTGTTTTTTTTCCCATCAAAGCAAAGAAAACTTCCATACTTTTAAGCGGTTCCTTAATTGTACTTTATCAATTGGTGTCTGTATAATTCAATTATATACATATTTCAAAGACTGTTTTCTCAAAACAGACTTTTTACTTTAGAACTGAGTCACAAATCTGTCTTAAATTAGAACTTACATTGATCACACTTACAGTTTTATTATGATTATCTTCATATTATTCCTTTTTATGTTCATATTTTATGGGTATTTATATAGCCTACCTCATGATTTACAAAAGACAGTTTGTGGTGTTGGAATTTTAAATTATATAAAAGAGATTCCCAAAACCATGTGTAAAACCCTTTTTTTTCTTGCCATAATGCATTCATATATTTACTATACATATATTTTCATTCCCTTTGTCTCTAGATGGTTTACTGTCTCAGATGAAGAGTCATGGTTTAGTTCCAGATCTTCTGTCTCTTTCTTCATTTTTCCCTTCAGTGCATCATGCAGTCTTGCACTATCAAGGACTACAGGTGTGTATGTTTTATAAAAAGTTATTTTACGCTGCATTTTTGCTCTTTTAGTTTGTGTTGGGCTGTTTTAATTCCCTTCTGATTCAATTTTGCATCTATTTTTAGAATATTGGCACAGAAGTTACAGAGTTGTGAACTGTAACGAACTCTTCCTTTAATGACTGATGGCAAACACATCAATCTACAAGAACTCTCATCATGGTGATATGCAGCATCATGGTGATATGACCATGATTAGTCAACCTTTTACTATAAAATATAAAGTGTCCTCAAAACATTGTTTACTTCATATCTGTTATGCAACATTATCATTTATTATTGTCATGTTAAGTTTGATGATGAAGAAATAATTTATGTGCAAAACAACATGGAGTTCATCTAAGAATAGTCAAACTGCACCAGCTCATTGCAATTCATTTCAGTTCAGTTTTTGAACTAAGTAACAGTAAATAACGATGAGAGTAAATAATATTTTACTAGTGATTTTTCAAGACACTTCTAACATTTAAAGGCTTAACTAGATTAATTAGGGTAACTAGGCAGGTTATTGTGTAACGATGGTTTGTTCTGTAGACAAACAAAAAATATTTAGCTTAAAGGGGCTAATAATTTTGACCTCAAAATAGTTTTACAAAAATTAAAAACTGCTTTTATTCTAGCTGAAATAAAACAAATAAGACTTTCTCCTGAAGAAAAAATATGATCAGACAAAAAAAATTTCCTTGCTCAAACATCATTTGGGAAATATTTAAAAAAGAAAAACTAATTTAATAGGGGGCTAATAATTCTGACTTTAACTGTATGTATGTATATATGTATGTATGTATGTATGTATGTATGTATGTATGTGTATATATATACATATATATATATATATATATCTATAAAATAAAAATAATTTAATAATTTAATATGAGTTCATCATCATTATCAAATGATTAAGTGAATACTGATAACTATGTGAACAAAAATATTTTTTGTAAGGTAAACAGCACAAAGAAAACGTGTTTTATTAGACCAAATAAAACAATCACCAGATTTCTAAACATAAATCCAAGTGGAAACTTATAAAAAACTGAGCAAAGCCAGGCCTGCATATGCGCACACAGGGTTAGATAAAGCAATGAGGCACAGGTGAACACAATACTATAGGTTGCTATAGCAACATATGATCATATATTAGGACGCTAGGTCAAACTGATCATTAAACACTCAAACTAAGAGTTTGTTACATGATAATTCAAAAACATAAAACAGATTTTATTTCCTTTCGTATTTTTAAAAATGCTTGCCATTTAGGCAAAAATGTTATCAAAAGAATCCCCTTCAAATAGTTGTTGTGTAAATAAATTGCCAAAAAAATAAAGAGGTTTCCGTGTTTAGACAAAAACTGAAACAAAATCCTAATAATTTTGTCTTTACACTAATTATATGATAAGTTTAGTCTCTTTTATTATCTTTATTTACAGTGTTTGTTGCACACAGTTACACAGTAACAGCTTTTTACGCTGTGTTAAAAAAATAAAGCATGTACATTCTCAAGTAAAAACAAATCAAGTCAAAACAAACACCTCACGTGAGAGTCAAACATCCACAGTTAACACTTCACTCATGTAAAACCACATGGTTCGGCAGAATGAACATGAAGTTTTCTATCTAATCAGACTAAGATAAGCTGGCACTAGTCTCTAGTGTGAAGGTGTCCGACACTGAAACCCCCCTCCCCCTCTGTCTTTTTGGGACTTTGCTCCCCATATGAACACATTAGAATTCTATCAGTGAGTGTGAATGGATCAGATGGATATTGGAAAGGACAGGATACACAGCCTGTTATAAAAGAGAAGAGCCCAGGACATTAATCAATCTATGAAAGCTCAGAGCTTCACTGCACCACCAGCAGATCTCATGAGAATCACTGGAGAACATCCTTCAGATCTGTTTCCAAGGACAGTCCGGATTAAATTTTAATTGTGAGCACATGCCTTTGGGATTTGTATTTTGGAGCTGATTTTTCTTTTTAGAAGACTCATTTTATGTAAGTTCACATCCATATTTGGGACTGAGACAGGGTTAAAAAATGGAAGAAGACATGAAGGAGCTGAGAAAGAGAGTACCGTATCACATCCAGAGAGAAGTGCTGGATGAGCTCAGCGTCGACCAAGTAGCTGAGAAATCAGATTTCAACATTTCAGTGAAAGAAAAACTCAAGGATGCTGTCAGGTGTGTATTTTTTTTTGACTTTGTGAGTGTGATGAACAGAAAATCTGAAAGTATTTTGAAATTGTAAATCAGATTATGCACAATAATGCTTAATAATTTGAGTGAAGTATTTAAGAGAATAAAAAAGCATTTGTAAAATCGAGAATCAGATTATTCACTTATGCACATTATGAAGTTTTCATAGCGTTTTCATAGTTTAATGCTGTTTTCTGTGAAAGTTTGAAGAAATACTTAAAGTTATATTTAAAAAGTTTTTTCCTTGACTGTTTGTAGAAAGATAGTAATAACGTTTTATTTTCAAATGTCTTTGTGTTTAATTTGGTACCTTGATTGTTTAATTTGTTACCGAAGTTTGCAAAAAAGTCTGATGATTGTGCAACTCAATGTCATTTAGAAAATGATTTTTCAGCAGCCTTTATAGAAGCAATAATTTAAAAATGTCTATATCTTGTTTTCATTGTTCGTCAGGTGTACAGGCCCAAAGGCTAAAAGCTGTTTCCTATCCTTTATTCCTCTCCTGGCTTGGCTCCCTAAATACCCATTTCGAGAAAATGCCATTGGAGATCTAATATCAGGAATCAGCGTAGGAATCATGCACCTGCCTCAAGGTCCAACACGTGCACAACACTTGGCCGATAATGACCTAATTAACAACAACACAAACAATCGTCATGTGTAATGTGTTTTGTGTGCAGGTATGGCATATGCTTTGCTGGCTGCCGTTCCTCCTGTTTTTGGCCTGTATTCGTCCTTCTACCCCATTCTTATATACTTTATATTTGGAACTTCTAAACACATCTCTGTCGGTAAGTAGCTCTCTTTCAGTTGTATTGAAAGGGGAGGAGTTCTGCTAAAATAAAAAAATGCATATTTTGCAGACTCTTTTCTCTTTTCCTTTTTTATTTTTTTTTATTATAGTTTTTACAGACATAGGAAAACAAAGATCAGACAAACAAACCCATCATCTACCTTATCTTCCAAACGAAGATATGTTCTCAATCTGATGTGCGTTTCCCAAACAATGACGTAACTCATGGCTGAACTATTATAGTACGATGCATTGTTTGGGAAATGAACGATGTAGTGACGAGTGTTTCCTCAAAACCATAGTTTCTCTGTTGCAGATCCATCTTTTGAACCACGTTAGTTATAACGTAAAACCTACATAAAGATGCTCTAAACAGGGCAGAGTAACTACTTCTTTAGAGAAAATGCCAATAAAGTTTATAATAGTTAAAAAAATTAAGAAAAGTAATAATAATAAGATTATTATATCGTATATATATATATATATATATATATATATATATATATATATATATATATATATATATATATATATATATATATATATATATATGTATATATATAAATTATTATTATTATTTATTTATTTTTAATTTTTTTGAAAAGTCTACTTTTTAGCAACTTTGACACATTGAAACCATTACAGAAATTTTCTAACCAGCAGGCCCATGTGATAAATACAGTAGGCTACAGACACATTTTCTTAATAAGTAAGCTACAATAAATTAAAACTATTAACGTATGCTATATTTTTGTTTTCACAAGTTTTAGAGACGTAACATAAATTCCACTTTTAAGTAATAGGCCACCTATAGCTTTCGTCATGAGCCACGGCTGCATTCAAAATGGCGTAAATGTTTTTAAAGTGCCTTACGAAGGCAACAAATTTGTCACTATGAAGATCACTAAAAATGAACTGTTTAAAACATTTGAAAGCAAATTACACTCAAAAGATATGACTTTATTTATTTATTTTTTTAATCATTCCAAGTTTAAATGTTGGAACATTCAAAACGAATAGAGGGATAAATAGGAATAGAACACAGCCAGGATATGCTACTGTATGCTTCAAACTACAGCTCTAGAGGTGTAAGGGTGTAAAAAGTGTAAAGGTTTGCAACGCAGTTTGCGAATGTTCGTTGGAGCAACCAATTTGGAAAACACTAAATTAATGAACTATGTTTGTAACAAAAGAACTTACAACCTTAGTTGCCTAACGATGGTTTTGGGAAACGCACCCCAGATTGGAATATTGCTGATTACGGATGAGAGGCTAGCCACGATCAATCATATTACATGCTCTCTTGAAACTAGTTTGAAAAACTTCTCGTAATATTGTCAATGTTTTTACAAAATTAAAATATGTTTAAAAGTATATAAAGAATATTGTTTTTTAAAGAATATCAGGTCGCCATAATGAAGTTAAGCAGCTAAAATGCATCCAAAACGTTTTGGTTGAAAAAGGTCATGTGTAAATATAAGCCTCACTGATAAAACTTATCTCCATTTCAACAATTAAAGAGAAAACTGTGCCATTTGAAATTTCTCATGTCATACCTAAATGACTTTCTCTGGCAGGAGATATGACTGCAAACAATTCTATATTTCTTTAATTTTTGAGTGAATTATTCCTTCAAATTTCACTGTGGAGTTCATTCCCACAAACATAATGTAGTAAAACAAACTGAGCAGCATTTTCTCATATTCTCATATCTGTCTCCAGGTACATATGCAGTTATGAGTGTTATGATTGGCAGTGTGACAGAGCGTTTGGCTCCAGACTCAGACTTCACGTTCCCAGGCAACGAAACCAACAGCACCTATATAGACTTTAGCAGCCGTGATGCAGAGCGGGTCAAAATCGCTGCCACTGTCACTTTCTTATCTGGCATTTTCCAGGTAGGCTGTCTGTCTTTGAAGTGTGCTCAGCTCTGAAGGTGTGTTTGTGACTGAAGTATTTCTGTGGCATCTGTGTGTTTGTAGTTGCTCCTCGGTGTGGTGCGCTTTGGTTTTGTGGTGACGTATCTCTCAGAGCCATTGGTGAGGTCTTACACGACAGCGGCTGCTATACATGTCATCGTGTCCCAGCTCAAATATTCCTTTGGCATCAATCCACATCGATACAGTGGACCTTTGTCTCTCATATATGTGAGTATGAACATACAGCAGTTTATTCCATGTGAATAATGGTTCTAGAATACCCTTTATTTAGCGGGGAAAACTAAACAAAATTGGAAAACAGCAAGAAATAGCACAAGGAAAGGTAACAACTGACATTAATGCAGGTCAAAGAAGTCAAAGATTAGTATACAGGCCATTGCTTTCAATGACTTCAACACATCTGCGGCTACAAGACTAGACATCACTAGTTTTTCACAGGGCATCACTATATTAATTTATGTTTCCATCTAAAGATGCGTATTAGATTTATGCACAAAACTTGAATATTGCATTAAACTTCGAATAAAGCTCCATTTCCATCCAATGAGTCAAAGAGAACCAAAAACGTCACTGCCTGATTAAGTGGCATCAAATATTTACAAATAGATATGAGAAGCAACTATGGGCCTTTTTTTCTTAATAAAATTAATTACTTGTGCCTCAGAAGTCAAAGACAATATGCAATGAACATACAATGGCATTTGGAGGAGCAAGACCACTCTTTAGGAGTGCAGCCCCAAGACGATTTCTAGGACATAACACCGAACCACTGTGATGATGGACTATGGCTAAGAGCCCATTTTTTCAATAGGCTTTTTCCAATAGGCATGCTGGAATTGTTTTGGTAAATGTGTTTCCATCATAGTTTATATGCATTTGTTCTTATTAGATTAAAGGTTTGTCATATTTTGAAAATATTATGTGCATCTTGGACGTTCTATTAAGCTTGGAGGTTATGCAATGTTACAAAATGTGCATAAAATAGGTGGATTGAAATATATATCTCTCACAGGACATCAATTGTCTTTCACAGGGTTTCTCTAATCTCTCACACTGATCTGCTGTGATGTTGATCAGCTTTTCTTCAATTTCTTGCACAGTTCTGTGTCTAATGGGTATTGTTGTCATAACTTTAATGCCAAGGATTTTCCACAGATTTTCAATCAGGTTTAGATCAGGACTTTGGGCTGCCATTTCATTTTTAGTGTTTTCAGCTTCAAATAACTGCTTTGCCCATTTTGCTGTGAAACAGGGTTCATTGTGCTTTTATTAAAATGCAGACAGAGCTTCTGATACAAATTTGCATTCACTCTTTAATGTAGCTGTAAAACAAGCCAAATTTTAGCAGAAAACATCCCCAAACCTTGGCACTTTTAACTGACTTCTTTACATACCTTTGTATTTAAATGTGTAAATAGTGTTTACTACCTCCTAGTAGAGGGGTTATTAAAAGCACTTGTAAACTATAGATGAAGTATAAAGCTTTTCTTTATTTTCTTTCTCTCTTCAGACAGTCATCGAGATTTGTGCATTGCTTGGAAAGACCAACATCGGTACACTGGTTGTCAGCATTGTTACTATTGTTGGCTTAATCATTGCAAAGGAACTCAGCGCATTGGCAGCAAAAAAAATCCCTATTCCGATTCCAGTTGAGCTAATTACTGTGAGTAACATCATTCAGTTAAACCAACCCAGTCAAACCAATCCACTTAAACTTTTGATTACATTTTTACCTGGTGGTTGAGTTTGTCTATATTTTACCCAAATTTGCATTTATAAGTGTCAGTTTTGGTTGCATTTTTGATCTCACTTTGTTCTGTTGCTGAGAGAGCAACTCAAAGCGTTCATTTTGCTGTGTGTATAGATTATTATAGCCACTGTGGTATCATGGTATATGGATTTGAAGACCATTTACAAAGTCGAAGTTGTTGGCGAAATCCCATCAGGGTGAGTCTAATACACAGTTTTGAAACCTAAATATAACACATTTGCATTTGGTTCGTCAAGTTTTGGTGTCTGCATGAAATGACATGTACAAATTACTGTATGTAATTTAAATGTACTGATTTTATATAAATAAAAATAATATTAAAGTGTCTGATTTGAAGTTTAAAGGCACGTTTTTGAAAGAAAATGGGTGATTATGTGCTATTGTATAACAGTTTAAGTGGATAAAAACACCTTGCTGATGAATGGGTTAAACCTAAATGTTTGAGGATAGTGGAAAGTATTTGGAGGTACAGTCTGATCCTTAAATAAAGCCCTGTACTATATCATCAAATGATAATTGCTCTAAATATGCCTAATGAAATTTTTGATATGTATACAATTGTTACACTAAATTACATCTTTGTGTGTGTGTCACATAAATATGTTTGATATTTATTTTTTTACTCCAAAAATATTACAAAATTATAATGTAAAGTATGGGTGGGGAAAAAAGATAGTTCATCAACTTCTGCAACATCATCTCCGTATAATCATCTGTATCTCTTCTTCTAATTGTAGTCTGCAGGCTCCAGTGGCACCAAAGGTCTCACAGCTGGGTTCAATGGTCGGGGATGCTTTTGCACTGGCAGTAGTTGGTTATGGCATTGCTATTTCACTGGGAAGAATTTTTGCCCTCAAATATGCCTACAAAGTTGACAGTAACCAGGTAAACATAATACTTTTTCATAACACTTTTTGTTGTGAACATGCTCAGGCTGAATGTTAAAAGGTAATAATCTTGTAAATAGTGTTTTCCTTCATTAAACCTTAAAACATTGTCAAGTAACATAGGTACAGATTTAGATTGCCTGTATATGTTGATTTGATTCTCAAAGTGTCAGTATCTATTTTTACTCACCTTTAATAAATAACTTAGCACCCCTGCTTAGTGATTTATTAAATGATTTTTCTGCTGAAAATGTTTTTAATGTGTTACTTGAGAAAAAAAGTCACCAATGTCATGGATGATCTATCTTTTTAGGATGTCTTTGAGTGCAAACACAAATAAACAAACTATCAGTCCATAGCAGACAGGATGTATCTTCAAATTCAGGAAAAAAGGGTCATGTATTTACAAATACTATTAAGAAACATTTTCTGGGATTTTAGATCTTACTTTTAAGCTCAGTTAAACAGAATGTTTTTGTGTCTTGTTTCATCATCTTTACACTTTATTACACAGATTTTCATATGATTAGAAACTCCCTGTTTGAGCATCTTACGTTCTTCTCCTATTCAGGAGCTCATAGCGCTGGGTCTGTCTAACTCAATTGGAGGCCTGTTCAGCTGTTTTGCCATCAGCTGCTCTATGTCTCGCAGTATGGTGCAGGTCAGCACGGGGGGGAAATCACAGGTGAGAACATCAGCAAAAGGCAAGCTGACATCATTTTCTTTTCCGCCATTCTTTCAATACACTGTTAAAAATATACATGCAAAAAGGCGGCTACTCCAAAGCTCCCAAACTCTGAGTTCATTAACTTAAAAATACTATCACAAAGCGTGTGGCACGGTGGCTCAGTGGTTAGCACTGTTGCCTTACAGCAAGAAGGTCGCTGGTGCAAGTCCCCGCTGATTCAGTTGGCATTTCTGTTTGGAGTGTGTATGTTCTCCTTGTGTTTGCTTGGGTTATCTTCATGTGCTCTGGTTTCCCCCACAGTCCAAAGACATGCCGTATGAGTGAACTGAATAAACTAAAATTGGACAGAGTGTATAAGTGTGTGTGTGAATGGGTGTTTGCCTGTACTGGGGTGTGGCTGGAAGGGCATCTGCTGCATAAAACATATGCCGGAATAGTTGGCGGTTCATTCCGCTGTGGCGACCGCTGAAATAGAGGCTAAGCCGAAGGAAAATGAATAAATGAAGGAATACTATCACAAAGCATGTAATGTTTTGAGCACCAGCTCTTCATCAGGCAGTATTGATCACAACATATTACTCTTTATACTCACCTGGATCACATGATCTCACACATTCTCACAACAAAACGTAAAGGACAATACACTGTAAAATATACAATATATTCAATACACTGTATTAATTAAATTAATAATAATTATGAAAAAAGGTTCAATAACTGCCAGCAGCACAGTAGTTGCCAAAGAAATAAAGTAAAATAACAGTAATAATTGTAATTCAAATACATCACTAAAAACATAATTTGAAGCATTTTTAATTAAAGATATTTACAGAAAACTCTGTTTGTTGCTTTACAGGTATTGCTAAAAAGTATTAAAAATAAAGTGACAGCACTAAATGTCCTGCAGAGAAAAACTGTTATTTTATTGGTATTCTTTTAATTATTATGAACCAAAGCCTTCAATAAATTGACAGCACTATTGATTGTGAAGAGATACACACTGTTAGAGTAATATTAGTTTATTATTTTATCTATAACACTGTTATAGATTATTTTACTTTATAGATTATTTTTTACATATGTTATCTATTTGTTGTCTAAAACATGACAATAATCTATACCTTTTAATGTCAGGCACATTTGATTAAAGATACATTATACATACACTACTGGTCAAAAGTTTGGGGTCAGTAGAAATTTTGGATGTTTTAAAATAAGCTTATCCTGCTCATAAAGGCTGCATTTCTTTAATCAAAAATACTGTACAAATTGTAAAATTGTGAAATGTTATTGCACTTTAAAATAACTGTTCAAAAGTAGTTTATCATTTAATTGAATCATTTATTCCAGTGATTTTACAGATGAATTTTCAGCTTCATTACTCCAGGCTTCAGAGTCACATGATCCTTCAGAAATCAATTAAATATTTGTAGTGTACATTATATTTCAATGTGCAATTAAATCTTGTGGAAAAAACTATCAAGAAATGGCCTTCCAATCTAAATTTAAAATGCATTTTGATTTGGTTAAGGTTTGATTAAGACAAGTCAGTATCTGGTGTGACCACCATTTCCCTCATGCAATACAACACATCTCCTTTGGATAGAGTTGATCAGGTTGTTGACTGTGGCCTGGATACTGCTGGATATGCGATGTTGCTGGGTATTGGCAGAAACTGGAACACGTATACATCGTATATGCCAAAACAAAGTGCTGCAGTTATATTTTGTTATACAGTTGAAGGCAGAATTATTAGCCCCCCTGAATTATTAGCGCCTGTTTATTTTTTTCATCAATTTCTCTTTAATGGAGGGAAGATTGTTTCAGCACATTTCTAAGCATAATAGTTTTAAAAACTTATTTCTAATAAAGCATTTATTTTATCCTAACATGATGACAGTAAATAATATTTTACTTGATATTTTTCAAGACACTTCTGTACAGCCTAAAGTGACATTTAAAGGCTTAACTAGGTTAATGAGGTGAACTAGGCAGGTTAGGGTAATTAGGCAAGTTATTGTATAACGATGGTTTGTTCAGTAGATTATTGAAAAAGAAATAAGCTTAAAGGGGCTAATCATTTTGTCCCAAAAATGTTTTTTAAAAAATTAGTAACTGCTTTTAATCTAGCCAAAATAAAACAAATAAGACTTTATCCAGAAGAAAAAATATTATCAGACCTACTGTGAAAATTTCCTTGCTCTGTTAAACGTCATTTGGGAAATATTTAAAAAAAATAAAATAAAATCAAAAGGGGGCTAATAATTCTGACTTCAACTGTATAACAAAAATGTAAATGCAACACTAAAAGTAAAACTATATGGATTTATGTGTGTGTGTGTGTGTAATTTAAGATGAAAATACTGTCAAAATAATCTAGTAATTATGTGTATAAAAGTATTTTTTATTGATGACAGTTACTGTAAATTTGTATTAATGGTAAAATCCTTGTAGTTGATTTGGTAATGACAATAACCTAAATAAGAAATGTTGCTAAAAATAAGTCCTTTTCTGTGAAATCTGGATATTTCCTCCAGTGCACCCAGTTGTGAATAGACATGGATGATTTGATGACTGGCTGATTTATTTTGATGTGAAAGCTGAAATCCTCTCTCTGTCAATCTCTCAGGTTGCAGGAGCGATTTCTGCTCTGGTGATTCTGGTGATCTTGTTAAAGATTGGAGAACTCTTTGAGGAGCTGCCAAAGGTTAGCTGCTGCTGAATCTGCTCTTGTGTGTGCCTGTCATCATATCTGTGCTCAATTCATGAATATATTAATGCGTCTGTTTACATAGATATTTACAGACATGTGTGCGCTGGTCTGTTTAGGCAGTGCTGGCGGCTATAATCTATGTAAACCTGCAAGGCATGATGAAGCAGTTTGGAGACATCTGCTCTCTCTGGAGGACCAACAAAGTGGATATGGTGAGAGAGATAAGGAGATGAAGATGTAGAAGGAGGGAGCAGATCTTATGCAACACATTAAAAATAGATCTATACATAAACAAAATAGGACAGAGAGCAGAAGGGAGGGAATGGATTGACAGAAAGAATGAAGGGGAAAGAATTGATGCTTCGCCTATTATTCTTGATGTTGTTTGTGTGTTTAGGTGGTGTGGGTGATGACTATGATCCTGACCATTTTGTTTAATCCTGACATGGGACTGGCTGCGTCTATCGCCTTCTCCATCCTCACCGTGGTCTTCAGAACTCAGCTGTGAGTGACAAAAAGCAGAGAAAGAATGACAGAGAGTTGGAAGATTTCACAAATACACACTCAATTGTGTCACTTGCATGACATTCTTATTGTAAATACTGTGCAAATAACCTGAAATGTAGGCACATTTACAAACATCCTCTGCAAGCACACCCTTTCTGAGGAGTGTTCTTAATATTTATACATTTTTATTGGGATACAATGGAAAGAGCCAGCAGATAGTGGTGTAAATTTAAAAAAATACACACTGTTTTTAATATAGAAATATAAATATTAGAAAACAGTATTAAGTAAAATAAATTGTACAAATTTCCAAATTCCTTATTAGGAAACAACTCATTTGAGGTACTGTAATAGTAAAAAATAAAATATAAATAATTAAAAATTAACCTTTATCACTTCTGTGCTTCTTCTTCAGATGCAAGGATAATTTTGTCATATAAGTGTTACCTACTGTGGGCAAACGCTGCAAGAAAACACATGCAAATAATAAAACTAACACTAACAAATAGAAAACATCTTCAATTTGAAGAAATGAACACATGCAAATACAAAAACACACTGCAAAAATGCAGACCACAACAGAAATGTATCAGGGCACTCCAAAAAATGAGGAACCAGGCTGCTTCCAGTTTAGAGTGCAAGAATTTTCTGAGTTATTTGAATGTTGTGAGTTATTTGTTTATTTTAAAGTGCAGATCATATGATTCCTTGTTGTTTGTACATTTTAAACCCTAATAATCTGACGAATGGCACAAATAATATTAAATTAAACATTATTTTAGTGCCCTTTTAACAAGAGTTACTCTCTGGAATAAAAATATACTAACAACACTCAACTTTACAAATTAGCATGATCCAGCAACACTGCAGCCAGGTTCGTTGGTTTTTGTGGTCTCCCAACACATTGTCGTTGTGGTCTGTGCTATTGCTCTAATGTATGTACTGTATTGTGCATGTATTGTGGAAGTTTGCATTTTGTCAAATTGATGAAGATGCTTTCTCAGTTTGATAGTGTTCATCTATTTCCATGTATTTATTTTTTACTTGCAGTGTGCTTGAGCTCTCTCAGCCATTATAGTTTCGGCTTGTCCGGGCAACCTTTACTTGAGCTTTGTCTGTCTGTCCATCGTGATCTTAAATACAAAAGTAGGAAATACATTCACATCAGACAGCAAAACTACGTTTTTTCTTTGACTCCTAGCCTTTAACTACTTTTAAGTGTAACATCAGTACATCATATATATTATCATACTGATGTATTTTCCAGTGTTATTAACTGTAGCAACAGGCAAATATTTGAGTTTAATTAAACTGTAAGGCAGCAAACTCTGCAAGTTTGGTGTCTCGATCAAACCCCAAACGCTTCAACATTCTCATTATTTATCTCTGTGCAGTTTAGCAAGTCTTCAAATTTTTTCCATGCACCGAATTTATCTCCATGTACCGCCTCAGCCACTGGCTAAACACCCCCTGGCTTAGCCTGCCTTTAACCTGACAGCAGCCCCAAATTCTTGCTACTGGTCAAGCTGGAAAGTGATCGAATATTTAGATTGTGCCTTTTAGTCCCACAATGTGCACATATTTAAGGGAAATAAAACCATAATTGGATTCCTTATAGCTAATAATTAAAGATGCAGAAGGTGATCTTCCACAATGCTAACAGCTTAGCATAAATCTCTGAATCACAGTCCCTCCCCTGCCGTCTAGAGCCACGCCTCCTAAAACACGAGCACAGCAAAAGAACCCTCTCTCATCTGTTAAAAGCGATTAGTGCTTGTCCGGCGGCGTGCAAGCCAAACTGACATGCTATTTCAGAGCAAATGTTTAGAGTTGCATGGTAAACAGTATAGGGAGAGACTAGGCGGAATATAGGTATTTACTTGTGTTTTGTTGTTAAACTAATTGAAATCTACATTATTAATGCTGTAAAAGGACCTTATGAAACTGAAAATAGTCTTCATCAGTCTTTCATTGAAAGATTTTAGTGGCTGAACAACACTTCTTTGAAGATATAACCCATTTGTAACAACAACATCTAACGTTACATCAGCTCTGCGTGAAGCTAAAACAGTTTTAAAACAGAACACTACCTGTCTCAGAGAAATCCTTCAGCCATGGTGTCATTCTTTCTCCAGCGTGCAAAGGTAACTCCAATATTAATTCAAGTTTTTAAAAAGTTGTGATTCAGCATGTTTTTACTGATCGCGCACGCGTGCTCGCTCTCTCTTGTGAACGTGCGGCGGTCGGCGGAGCTGCGTACAAACAGCTGCGCAGTTGTTCAAATCTGCTTTTGCTGACAGACAGATTAAGCTACTTATCGGAATTATAAGAGATGTTGGTCCTACTCTATTTAATTGGATAAACATTTTTTAGTTTTATGCCTTACCCAAAATATAAAAATACATATAAATACATTTAGATCATTTATTGTAATCATTACTATTAGACTGTGAAGAGACTTGAAACCAGCACAACAAAAAATGCTTCTGTAGACAATCACCTACTGCACCTTTAATTGAAAATAAACTTTACAAAAAAGTTAAAAAAAAACTCTTTACAAAAGTAAAAATCTTTAACACGTTGAAGTGAGAATGTAAAACTGGTTCTGCAGGCGGTCTCCTGTTTCACTGAAGTCAACAGAAAATACAGAGAGAACCTTTTTTTGAATGTCATATTACATTTCCTTTGAGTTCCCTGAGCTTGGCCATATGTACCATGGGCTTAGTGTCTGAAGTTAAAGTCCTGTTCTTGAAAGCATCAATATTAGATGGATGAAAAATCTCCATCTGTCTCTCCTAGTTTTGACATCTTCCTTCTTACCTGTATTTACCTCTCACACTCTCTCTCATTGCAACAGACCGAAATACTCCATTCTTGGGCAGATTCCTGGCACTGACATCTACAAACCAGTAGAGGACTACAATCAGGTGACCACAGCCATGACAACATCAACACCCATACCATTACTATTATAGTATGAACTAACTTGAAACTTTATTAGGTACACTTTACTAGTACTATAAGTTACACCACTTTTGCCTTCAGAATTGCCTTAGTTCTTAATTGGACCAACTCAACAAAGTGCTACAAACCTTCATCAGAGATTTTGGTACAAATTGGCTGGAAAAATGATTTTGTTCGGGTGTGTCCAACCTAAAATTTTGTATAATGCTTTCCTCATTTTATTTAAACAACAAGGGTGTTGCAGGCATGTTAAGTGGCTGAGCTGGAATTGAGGAAAAGTTCATCCTTAAATGTTTTCATGAAATGTCATCATTTCTGCATTCTTCATGAAAAACCTGCCATACTAGTCTTGATTAACTTTTCCATTACTGTCACATATTTGCAAGGTCATGACATGTATCTGCTTTACCTGTTTTGTTTTACTATTTGCTTGAAATTTCTGGGGGTGGCTCGTGTAGTTTCAACAGGTGCTGTAAGTTCCTGGTTGGAACAAGCATCTAAAATATGTTAAGTAGTTAAGCTGCAGCTAATCAGGGGCATAAAACTTGTTTATGTGAATGTTTTTATATTTTGGTTGAAAAAAATGTGTGTGTGTGTGTGTGTGTGTGTGTGTGTGTGTGTGTGTGTGTGTGTGTGTGTGTGTGTGTGTGTGTGTGTGTGTGTGTGTGTGTGTATACAGTTGAAGTCAGAATTATTAGCCATTTTATTATTAAAATGTTTTTATAATTAAAATTTATTATTAGCCATATTGATTTGTTTTATCTTTGCCATGATGACAGTAAATAATATTTTACTAGATATTTTTCAAGACATTTTTCAAGTGACATTTAAACTAGAATTGAGCTTAACTAGGTTAATTAACTAGGTTTATTAAGTTAACTAGGCAGGTTAGGGTAATTAGGCAAGTTATTGTATAATGATGGTTTGTTCTGTAGACTATCAAATAAAAAATCACCTTAAAGGGGCTAATAATTTTGACCTTAAAATGTTGTTTAAATTAAAAACTGCTTTTATTTTAGCCAAAATAAAACAAATAAGACTTTCTCCAAAGAAGAAATATTATCAGACATACTGTGAAAAGGCCCTTGCTCTGTTAAACATCATTTAGGAAATATTAAAAAACAAAATTTAAAATGAAAGGAGAGCTAATAATTCTGACTTCAACTGTATATACAAGCTTTTTAATTTTAGATGCGATTAATCACGAATAATCATTTAACAGCTCTTATATACACTCAAGCCTGAAATTATTCTTACAGATAATTGAATAATTTCAGGCTTGAGTTTATATTATATGATATATGTTTTTTCGCTCACTGTGTATAAATATTGTGTATATATAAATAAAACATATATAAACTACAAAACACAATAAAATTAAAATATAAAATGTTTACATAGAAATTTCTATAAACTTTTTAGATATAAATATTTATCTTAATAATATAAAAAATATTATATATATATATATATATATATATATATATATATATATATATATATATATATACTTTTTTTTTAATACTTACATTAATGATGTTTAACAGAGCAGGGAAATTTTCACAGTATGTCTGATAATATTTTTTCTTCTGGTGAAAGTCTTATTTGTTTTTGTTTTGGATAGAATAAAAGCGATTTAAAAAATTTTTAAACACCATTTATGGTCAAAATTATTATAAGTTATTAGCCCCTTAAAGCTTTTTTTTTTCGATAATCTACAGAACAAACCATCGTTAACCTAATGAACCTAGTTAAGCCTTTAAATGTCACATTAGAAGTGTATTATTATTTACTGTCATCATGGCAAAGATAAAATAAATCAGTTATTAGAAATCAGTTATTAAATCTATTACTATTAGAAATGTGTTTAATAAGTATTCTCTCCGCTAAACAGAATTTGGGGAAAAAATAAAAAGGGGGTTAATTCAGGGGGCTAATAATTCTGACTTCAACTGTATACACACACATACACATACACAATACATATGCACAGTGCACACATATTATGTAAATATGAACTTTTATTGGATGTGATAATCATAATTAAACTTATATATTTATATATTTTTTTATTATTATGACATTAATTTAGTTAATCTGTTTTTGTGAATTTGTGCATTAAGAAAACTGCTTAAAACATGTCAAATATGTATTACTTTTTTATCTCTGTGTTTTCCAGGTTAAGGAGATTCCTGGTATTACGATTTTCCGTTCATCTGCAACATTGTACTTTGCTAATGCTGAAATGTACATCGATGCCCTCTATGAGAAGGTAGACACGCATAAACAACCCTGCATGTGTACGCTCTCATAAATATTCATCCACACACACTTGCTTAGCCAGCACTAAACGCATAATTATCCCAAACATACAATCTAACATAAGCAATAATAACTGTGAGATTAGACCAATCAAGCTACATACAAGCAAAACACCCTTAAGTCAGGACATTCATTCATGATTAAAAAGAAAAAAAAAACTCTGTTTGCAGACTGGTGTAGACGTGGCTAAACTTCTCTCACACAAGAAGAAACTGCAAGCAAAAAGACTGCGAAAAGAAAAGAAAGCTGCCAAGAAAGCAAAAAAAGAGGCTAAGAAAAGAGCAAAAGAAGCTGCACGCCAAGCTAAGGTCTGCAATTGACAATAATACACTAATCTATGTATAATATGGATGTTTATTTGTTGGTTTTATTCCAGTTATGCATCTATATGTATTCTAAAAGGACTCTGTTTTTAACCAGGAAGAGCCAGTGTTTTCAGACACAGAAGAAAGCGAGGAAGAGCCCGAGTTGGTTTCACACTCACAGACTAATGGAAATGTGCACGAGTTATCGGTTAAAGAGCCAAAAGATATGGTTGTAGTAGAAGCAGGGCCTTATACTGACCCCGACACACCACTTCCAAAGGCAATCATTCTTGACCTGAACCCAGTCAACTTTCTGGACACAGTTGGTGTGAAGACGCTACGCAATGTGAGAGACGATCTGTACTCAATAACTGCTTTCTTATTTTTTCATATGTTTTAATCCTGTTTGTTTAAACCTTTGTTTTTTGGCAGATTTATAAAGATTATGGAGAGGCTGGTGTGCAGATATACTTGTGTGGCTGCCAGAGTGAGTAACCAATACATAATATATAACCAATACATACCAAAGAGTTTGACCTACAGTATATACACTCTTAGGTAAATGTAGATGTTCTTTCAGTGAACAGTTTTGTAAGGCATAGTTCATCCAAAAATTAAGATTTACCCACTGTTTACTCACCCTCATGTGGTTGCTTATCTTTATAACTTTCCTTTTCTCTGATCAACACAAAGGAAGATGTTTTGGAGAATCCTGGAAAGCATAATAGTCATTGTCTTCTATAGTGGCAAATGTAGCTACTGGATTTCTACTTTATCCAAAATTTCTTCTTTTGTGTTCAACAGAAGAAAGAAACCCACACACATTTGAAACAACTGGAGGACGAGTAAAATATGACAGCTTTATAATGAGAAAAGTCAAGTGTTCCTTTAAACGAATCTTTTTCAAGGCCATGTTATGGTTGTCAGACTTGTATTTCAGTCTTTAATATGGTTGTTCACACACTGTTTGATCATTTAGGGGGGTGAGAGATAACATTTCACATTGTGGTCTAAAAATGTCAAAAGTTACTTTGTTTAATATTTTAATATCAAACTATGAAACTATTTGATAGCATGGAAATACACATATTAATAAAAAAAACTGTTAAGAAAAATATTTACTTTTTTTACATATCCTTCAGATTTGTCAGAGTGATTGCTCTATAAATGCAATTCATAAGAAAAAATTTGAACATTACCATCTAAATCTTGGAAAAAACGTGCATAAACAAGCAGTTTGTGAGTGAAAAAGACTGAAATATATCTCCAAATAGACAAAATATATTTAAATCAAAACGTCAGAAGGCTCTGGCTATTTTGTGGTTGTGGTTATTATATTGTGTCTTTAGGTTCGAACTTAAAAATGACAATATTCACTAAGTGAACCAGGAATAAATGTATAATTTTCTTGTCAGAACCAAATGAACCAAAAAAAAAATGCAGTGTTCATATGCAAAAACCTCTAAGTGCCATCTGAAAAGCATTTTTTTCTCAGAGGCTTTTGTCTGTAGGTTTAGTAATTACACCTTTATGTAATTGAATTGGTTATTTTTATTGCATTTGAAAGGGACCTGTTATGCCCCTTTTCCAAGATGTAAAATAAGTCTCTGATGTGCCTAGAGTGTGAATGTAAAGTTTAGCTCAAAATCCCCCTCAAACAATTTTTATAACTCTTTGAAACTTCCCCTTTTTAGATTTAGATTTTAAATTGTGCTGTTTTGGTGACTGCTGGTATAAATTCAAATGAGATTGTGCTCTTTTCAAAAGAGGGAGGGCGGAGCTACAAATGCCTGTGTGTCAGCATAGTGGCAGATTTAAAAACAGGACTAACAATGTCTCTGTGAAAAACTAAAAATGTCAAAAGAAGTGGCTCAGAAGAAGGTATTCTGTGTTAAAAGTCGACTTTTATAATGCTATATATATTCATGTACTGCTGCCACACAGCTGTATTTAAACCCCTTTTAAAAGTGATTTGATTAGCTCCCCATTAAAGTGAAATATCGAAACATAAGTATAGTCGGTTGAGGAAAATACTAGTTTTGGAAGACATTTTCAGACTACACTTAGGCCCCGTTTACACTAGTACGTTTTAGTTTTAAAACGGCGTTTTAGAATGAAAACGATCCGCGTCCACACTCGCGTTTTACCCAGCGTTTCTGAACTGCTCTCCGTCCACACCAAAACGCTGAAAACGCACATCACGTGACCACACAGACGCTCTCGGGCAAGCGCTGCAGCCCATGTACCCAGATGAGAGCTCTGCTAGTCGGACTTCTCATCAAGCATCTCCCGCTGGATCTAATCTCACTATATTTATTAAACGGGATATTTCATTCATCTTGTTGTCTTTATCTAACGACATATTCCCTGACTTTGGGCATTGGAATCTATTACTTGTTCTCAGGTAACGTGTTTTGGCTGAGCGCAAAGATAAGTTAATGATTAATGTAACCACGTACATTCTGTATATTGACTGATCGCCTTTATTTCCTATAATGTATAAACTTATTGTATGTTATACTTTTAAAATGGCCATTATCGATTCTTAAAACTGATACTCAGCAAAAGAGAGGGGATGTTTCGTATTTTCACTGAAATTGAAAGGAGGCAGTTGTTATCGGCTCCGTTTTGTTATAAATATCCAGACAGTGAAGATGACGCTCATCTTATACAGCACGGCGCCTCAACATTTCTGCTGTCTAAGTTGCTAATATTAAAATGAAAATAGGCAGTTCCTTAAATCATGTTTATATTTTATTGTTGAGAAAGTGAAACAACGAAGCCAGGGTGATGTGAATGAAGTTATAAAGTACACTGTTCCCTTTGAAGATTTACCCGTGTCCTCGGTATAGTCTGCTTTTCCATATCAAACTGAGAAGAAGAGACTGCAGCCTTGATCAAACTTGCGAAGTCTGAACTTACACGGAGAAGATTCAGGACTGAACTGTGTGTTAGGCTACTTAATATTCAGGAAAAGCCCCAATCAGAGAGGCGAACGTCTGCAGCCCCGCCTCCGTTTTCAGATGTCTCCGTTTTCCATCATCCACACTGAGACGGAGCAGCAGCGTTTCAAAATGAAAACGGCCTCTCCAGCGTTTTCGAAACGCTCCGTTTTCGGCGCTCGAGAACTCCGGCGTAGTGTGGACGGTTGGCGTAACCGTAGCAAAACTTATGCGTTTTCAAACTAAAACGCATTAGTGTAAACGGGGCCTTAGAGGCTTTTGCATCTTAACTCTTCAAATGGGGTGACATGATGGCTTAGTAGTTAGCATTGTCACCTCACAGCAAGAAGGTCACTGGTTCACTGGTTCCTGGCTGGACCAAGTGGCATTTCTGTTTGGAGATTGTATGTTCTCCTCATGTTCGTATGGGTTTCCTCTCGGTGCTCCAGTTACCCCCACAGTCCAAAGACATGCGCTATAGGTGATTTGGATCAACTAAATTGGCCATAGTACATGAGTGTGTCTGATTGTGTTCCAGTTCTGGGTTGCAGCTGGAAGGGCATCCGCTTTGTAAAACATATGCTAAATAAGTTGGCAGTTCATTCCGCTGTGGCGACCACTGATGAATAAAGAGACTAAGCCGATGGAAAATGAATGAATGAATGAATGAACTCTTCAAATGTAAACACACCCTTATGGTGATGATACACATAGCAAGTATTTGAGCAATGTTACCGAGCAATATCACATTGTTTCTTGGCTACTTTCTTATTGGGAAAGGGCAACGTTATTGTATCTGTTTTGGCCTATAGTTTACCTGTGTCTCACCTGGTTTTCCATATAATTTTCCAAAGTTGCAATATTGCTCAAAAAGTTGTCCTATGTGTCATCAACATTAGCATTTTAACCTAAATTATATTTTTAAACTTTACACAATAAAAAGATTTAACAGAAGTCAAGGCTTCCATAGATGCCAATGAAAGAGCTTCAATTCCAACAGTGAACTCCTCCATTTAATCTGCTTGTTTTGCTGTCTTCATGGCATCTGAGATTTTCGTGTGAAAAACAAGCATGGTTCAAGATGGACCTGTTTGTCATCATTGTTTCTAATCTTGCTTTCAGGAGGTGTTGTAGAGAGTATGGAGAAGGGCGATTTCTTCAACGAGAAAGTGACTAAATCGATTCTCTTCTCCACGGTACATGATGCGGTTCTTTACTGCCAGCAAGGAAACAATGAGAAGGTAGAAATGTCAAGAGGTTTTCTAATCTTAAGTAGACAAGGGCTGAGGGTTGTTGGCCCAGACAGCACTTCGAAACAATTATGCATGAATAAACATCATTTCTTGTCTTATGTTATTGCAGGTCATGCAAGGAACACATTTGTAAATCGAATGTGAAAGACAACACAAAGCTGGATTTTTGTGTATTTCGCCATGAGGATGAATACGTATACAGGAGATTCATAATGTGTTATTTAAAATAATAATCATCTTTGAATGGGAAATATGTGAGAATGGATTTGCTATGGAGCTTTATTATGCAAGTAAAATGAAAAGAATTGTGAAACTATTCAGGTTGTGACACTGCAGGTGTTTTATAGCGCTAAAATATTACACATTGAGTTTCTCAGAAATATACTCAGAGTTCGTGGAAGCTTTACTACATTAAGTTCCACTTTTAGCATTAGCAATGTATGCTACAGTTGAAAAGTTTGGGGTCAGTAAGATTTTTAAAAGAGCAAGGATACATTAAATTCAACATAGGCTCATTCTGAAAACGTTTCCCCTATATACTATCCTGGAGATTACGAATTATGTAGCCAGAGCTACGTATGGCTGCATTTCGTCTTTAGAACAAATGCTACAGGGCGGTATGACGCTGTTCCCTTTCTCGCTTACCAGCTGACAGATTACCTCCGTATGGACAGCTTTTCCACTGTTACCAGTTTGCCCGGTAGCTTGACATTAGTGATGCGCGGATGGTGGTTATATCGGCAGGTGCTGCAGATAATCAGCGGGTCGGGCGGGTTGGGTAATAAAAAAATACATTATGATTAATTGCTGGTCGGTTGCGGGTGGATGTTGCCAGACATGGCAGTGGACCAGCGAAAAAGTAGAGAGTGGGCTTTGCAGGATGGGAAGATGAGACTCCCAAAATAATGGATGAATTGCAGAGTAGCCTACTGTTCAAAGATTCAGTTAGAGGAGGACTCTAACTGAAAATCTGCTGTCATTCTAGGAAAAACTAGATTGCTTATTTCCATGATTGCAGCGCATTGCGAGGAGAATCTTGTTCATTCCTACAGCAAGCGGTGCGAGCAAACGCTCATTCAGTGCAGCTGGCCGTGTTTTGAGGGCGAGGTAGAATCTCCGAATCCAGGCACAGTAGATGCTATTCTGTTTTTGCACAGTAAACATAACATAGCTACCATTTAGGCTGCAGTGGCACTCTTATTGTTATCTTGTTCCTGAATCTGTAAAAGCTAAATGTCCTATTTTTACTTTCTGTATCTATTTAAAAATGAAGAAAATGTTGTGTAAAGACAAAGCTTTGTTTTTATAAAAAAATTTTCATGTAAAATAATTTACGATTAACGTATTATTTTACTATCCACGGTGACCTATCATCATGCCTAAAACAAATGATTAATTTATTAAAGTGACGATCGGGTGCGGGGCGGTTGCAGATACCTTTATCAGATACTGTAAAACTGTATGTGCGGGTGGATGGCAGGTAAATGATTAGTATGAAGCCGCAGATTCGGGTGTCGTTTCAGCTGATCTGCGCATTTCTACTCGACACGTACTTTGGCAGACTTGAGATGCAGAGCAGAGTTGAACACGACAACGGGATTCAAGTCCGGTGAGGAACGGTTCCAGAAAGCAGGTAAGACAAAAACAGAAGCCAAAATCTAAAAAGAAACAAGTAAATAACAGGGTGAATATGTGGTAAAATCTGAAAGTGTGGTAAAAATCAGGGGGCTTTTCTTTTTTTCTGGATGGCTTTTTCAAAACACTTTGTTTGGGTTTAGAAAAGAGGGTGGGCGGGTCAGTCTGTGCTTTTTAAAACACTATTGGTTGGGTTTAGGGAAGGGGGAGGGTGGGTCAGTCGATTGGTCCTTCAGTCAGACAGTCTACCAGTCGACAGCAGCCTCTGGTGGATTTACGTGAGAACAGGAGCCGCAAATGGCACTTGCGAGAGAAATATGAGATCTGAAAAAGCGTAGACAGCGCCCTCTGGTGGATTCATGAAAAAAACATATTTGGTGCTCTCCAGAAATGCATATAAGGGTACATAATCAGAATGAGCCTGGGTTGATTAAATATGATCAAACATAATCATAATACATTGATAATGTTTTATTTCAAATGAATGCTGTCCTTTTAAAGTCCTTATTCATCAAAAAAAATCATTTTATTCTGGTTTTCACAAAGATATTACACAGCAACTGATAATGAGAAATATTACACTGAGTAAGACACTGAAGACTGAAGTAATGTCTACTGAAAAGTCAGATTTGCCACTACAGAAATCAATTTAAATCATCCAAATTTAAATTTTTGATTGTTAGTTGTATTTATATATTTAATAATATTTCACAATATAATATATAATAATATTGCCACTTTTACTGTGGACAATTAAATGCAGCCCTGGTGAGCATATGAGACTTGCAAACAACTTTCCAGTAACGATAGGGTGTTTTTGTTCAACATATATTTGAAAGAATGTGAACAAACACAACTCTTGTTTTTTTTTAAATATAATTTAGGTTGAGTTTGTTCATATTTACACAAGATTTAAGAGTGTTAATTGCAATCTAAACTGTTCATATATATTGTTTTATTATGTATGCTATTAACTTTGTATTTGTGTATGTTTGTGAATCAGTTTAACTTAAATAAACTGTCATTTTCTTATTCTTGTGGTATATTTGTCATTTCTATCTACCAAGTGATATTTAGTTCAAGTTTTAAATGGAATAGCATAGTTCCATCAGAGAGCATTACTTTTTCTGCTTAATTTCTAAATATGAGGATTATGCATACGTTCTCTTGTATAAATATTTTCTTTTTATTTCTATTGCATTGGTCGATTTGCAAAATTGTTCATGTTATGGCTGCTGTTTTCCTGGATGAACACTTATTCAGAAACATTATCAAAATGTTGTAATTATGTAGACGTTTACATGTACAGTGCTCAGCATATACACCCCTCACAAATCTCTCTTTTAAATTCAGATTTTCAATAGGAGGCTATACAATATTATATCTGTGCATATACATTAGAATAGTCAGTACTGAAACCAAGTCTGGAGCTTATCTGACAAAATAACTTGCGCTAATGGACCAAAAACAAATACATCCAAATTTATGATACAATAATAAATACAAATTTAAAAAGGAGGAAAAATCAATAGAAATTTAAAAAAAAAAAAAATTTTTTTTTGCAATATTTTGCTTGAATTTAATTGTATTATCTTTCCATTGCTAAATATGTTTGGTGACTAAAATATTATTTGAATAAATGTATCTGTTTAATAAATCTGTTTTGTTTATTAAATGCACCAAAATAAATTGCCTGTACTCACTGAGAAAAGGATACAAATATTCATTTTCCAAAGTGGGTGTACTCAATTATGCTGAGCACTGTATATATATACAGTTGGAAACAACATTAATATTGAACTTTTTTTTAAATTTTGGCTGGGAAAGGTAAAATTACCATTTTAAAGTTAATATAATTAGCCCCCTTAAGCAATATACCACTGCTGTTTTATGACATGCCTAATTATCAAAACTTGCCCAATTAGCCTACTTAACCTGGTTAAGCCTTAAAATGGCCTTTAAGCTGAATACTATCTTGAAAAAGTCTGATAAAATATTATTTATTGTGTCACCAGGCAAATAAAAAATAAATCAGTTGTTAGAAATGAGTTATTAATTAATTAAACTCAGAAGCATGTAAAAAATCTCTCTGTTAAACCGAACGAGGAAAGAAAAAATTAAAAAGAATTAAAATGTACAGGAAGACTAAAAATTCTGAGTTCAACTGCAGGAAATAAAGAGGTATTTCCATAACAGGTTTGAGAGAAACTGGTGTGGACATTCCAGCTTAATCCCAGAAGAGTATCATCCAGATTATAGAACCTGTTCAACTAGCATCACACTGTTTCAAAAACAGATGACACCTTTGCTGTTGCGCAAACAATGGACAGACTGTGTACACAAAGGGTGTTCTGAATATTATTAGAACTAAAGGGATAGTTCAAACAAAAATGTAAATGTAAAATGTTTCCAAACCTTAACAAGTTTCCAACACAAAATATGTTTGGAGCCAGTATTCATTGTCTTTCATAGAAAAAGAAAAACAATGGAAGTCAATGTCTACCAGTTGTCAATTTCTTTTCAAAAAATCCTCTTTTGTTGACATAAAAGGAGTCAAACAGAACAAGTGGAGGAGGATGAAATGATGAGTAAATGTTCATTTTGGGTGAATTATCTCTTTTAAAACATAATCTGACTGGCTGTATCAACTGCATAAGAGTTTACATCATTAGTCTTTTACCTTAACTGTCGACATAGCCTAATGAATGAATTTAATCACTCTTATTCAGCTGTAATGAGAAAAACTGGAGAGAAAGAGCGAAAGAGAGAGAGTCAATAAAGCACTTAAAACAGAAACCGAGAGAGAGAGAGAGAGAGAGAGAGAGAGAGAGAGAGAGAGAGAGAGAGAGAGAGAGAGAGAGAGAGAGTGTATGTGTGTGTGTGTGTGTGTGTGTGTGTGTGTGTGTGTGTGTGTGTGTTGTCAGTTTCTCACACAGCTCTCCTTTCAGTCTTTCTCCACCCATCAGGCGGCCGCTCAGCATCTGCGGTGCGCGGATCAGACTGGAGCCCAGTGCGGGAAACAGCAGCAGGCTGAACGCCGCTGTCAAACACCGGCTTCGTTAGCGGACCACTCACTCCATAACCTGAATTGATTTCTGCCTCCAGCATTCAGCCTGTAGCAGGTTCTGGTAAGTGGCTGTCTGGAATTGTTTTTGTTTGCTGTCTAGTTCTCTGAATGTGCTTTTAAATTAAATATTGCGGAGTCACTTTTGCCAAGCAAAATTTAATACAGACTAATCCGAGCCAGACACGCGCACTGAGTCACGGGAACTCGCATTTCTTAAAGCTACTGCGTCTATATTAATATAAACAGATACACATATGTGTTTTAAATCATTCAGCAGGGTTGTTCTCCATGCTTGAAGGTAGGCTAACCTCTTATAATTTTAACATGCGTAGCCAACAAACAAAGTCAACAAATGGATATGCACTAAAAAAGTAGTCATGCTCATATGCAACTAGCCTAATGAAAAAATAGTTTAGTTAAACATAAATAGGGATATGCTATACAAAAGGTACATTTTGGCTCCAACTTTTATACTTTTGACTAAATAAAATGAAATTGGCTTAAATAAAATTCGAAATTAAGCAAAATAAGCAAATAAATGGCATACTTTTAATGTCGTTAATAATTAATGAACTATTCTCACTCAACAATGTTTTTATTGTGTGGTGCTTTAGGCTATGATTTTTGTCAAATCAGTTTTGCTTATGCAACGTATTACTGTAGGCTGTCGTAAACAAAAATAAACGGAGAACTGTTTATTTAACAGAAGAAAACACCTGAACGTGTCATTCAGTGTTGACAGTCAACATAAATCAGTGCTGGCCTCGATTCATCACCGACCCAAATACGATTGGGCTCAAATTAATTGGCAGGTCGTTGCTCCTCTTACCGTCTCCTTTACTGTATTTTGACAGTCACAAACACTACCGCAGTGCGCGCACTCTTTTTGCTTCGCTCTATAGAAAACCAATTAATGCCATGACAATAGACTCTTTGGACTATCGGTCCATTTAAAAGAGCGCGCGCGTGCGTGTGTTGCGGAGGGTTCAGGACAGTCCGCGTTATCTCTGGCTCTCCTGACGTCAGCGGCTGTCATTGAAAACATTCTGCCGGTCGCTGAACGGTGCGCTGCACCAGATGAATGAAATCTCCATAATGCATATGCTGGCCACCTGCCTGTTGGTCGCCGCTGTTTCGTACTGGTACAGCAACGAGCTTTTGACAGCGCTCCATTTGTTTATTTCAGACTCAACCCTCAGCGGGGACATGCCGGAACCCGAGGGGACTCGTCGGTCACCGCAAGGTGTTCCTTACAGCGACCTGCCGCACATCGTCAACGCCGACGGACTGCACTTGTTCTGTCGTTACTGGGAGCCCGACGGTCCTCCGAAGTAAGTGTGAGATGACATAACAAACCCAGAGATTGGGTCAGGCCTCTTGGGATACAGCGAAGGAATCCTCCGTTACAGCCTCCGGTAGGGCAGCGCGAGAGACTGATACGCGCTCACTCGCTGATGTTTCCTTACGGAGCGTATTTTTAGCGCACTTTCAAGAGCCTGTTTTGAAATTCCAGCACCTTAACAGTTGTCATTCGCATTCATAACTACAAACAGAAGTAAACAGTGCTGGTTCATGTTAAAGTGAACGTTAAACAGTGCGTTTATTCGCGGTTTTCCGCAGAGCTTCTGTTTTATCACAATACAAACTGTTGGCACATCACATGATGTTTTAAGCTGGTGACTGAGGAAATAGACGAAGGAAGTATAGCTTTTCTAGTCAAATCTCGTTTTTCAAAGTTGCTGAATAAAATAAAAATAAAAGCCCCCGTGCGAGTTTTGTAGAATGTGTTTTAGTATATCGAAAAATATATCAATTAATAGACTAAAACAAGACAAAATAAAATACATAACAATTGCATATGTGCAGTTTTAACAATGTAAACATGCTATGCTACATATGCTTTATTAATATTACCTCTTTATGCAGAGCTAGCTGCTGTCTGGATTAGGGTTAACGTTAGCTGTCTGCAAAAGTTTTAAGATGAAACTGCACAACAAATAAAGTTATTGTGTATGAAAAATGTGTTTTGACCAAATAAAATGTTTTGTCAATTATTCTTATAGTTATGTTAGCTATTGCCGTTCATATATGGTAATTATATAGTATTAGACATAGTATATTAGTGATTATATTATATTATACATTTGTCTTAGGAATTATCCTAATAGGCAGCACGGTGGCTCAGTGGTTAGCACTGTTTCCTCATAGCAAGAAGGTCGCTGGTTCGAGTCCTAGCTGTGCCAGTTGGCATTTCTGTGTGGAGTTTGCATGTTTTCCCTGTGTTCCCGTGGGTTTCCTCCGGGTGCTCTGGTTTCCCCCACAAAGGCATAAGTGAATATAGATTAACTAAATTGGCCGTAGTGCCAAGGGGAGTGTACTGGAATAATTGGCGGTTCATTCCGTTGTGGGGACACCTGATAAATAAAGGACTCAGCTAAAGGAAAATGAATGTATGAATTATCATATTATTTGGATGTTTCTATTGTTTTCACTCGTAAGTCACTTTGTTTAAAAGTGTCACCCAAATGATTAAATGGTAATGTACTATCTCATGAGGCCACTGGAAGAGACTTGGAAATGGAAATGTATAACAGCAGATGCTGTAGGTCTCATAAAAATGCTAGCAGTGTGTCCAGATTACCTTTATGCTGCATTATACATACTATTTTAACAGTCAGTAAATTAAGCACTTAAAAGAAGTACTTACTCAGAGATTCACAGCCTGAGCCATCTTCAATAATTCATCACAAGAATCGGCTCAAACGAGTCATTCCTGTATGAACTGGATAAAGTGGTTGCATTAATTGCTGCTGAAAAATGAGCACTTTGGGGAAATAACCTGATGTAAACTAGCAAAAATTGATGACCCCAAATCAGTCTTCAAGAAAAGGGGTTCCCAAACCTTTCAGCCCGAGACCCCCAAAATTACAATGCCAGTGACTCGCGACTCCCAATATTCTCTGAGGTGGTTATAAATATATAAACCTGGCTCAGAACAGTGCACACATACCAATAGGCCTAAGTGTTTTCATCATTTAATTTTGAAGAATGCCACTCGGAGACCATCCTCCTTGTTCAGTTGTGGTCTGTATTTATTTTTAATGTACAGTATGTGAGTGCTGTAAAGGTGTCAGAAAGTTTAACTAGGTGCCATAAAATCAATGTGCTGTGTCTGTATTATGACATAATTACCCCAGGGGTCCAGAAAAAAATCTATAGGCAGATGGCTTTTTATTAGCATGTTGTTTTATTAATGTAACTTTTAACTACTATTTTTGTCTTCTGTAGATTATGGATAGAATATGGAAACTGTAATAGTTTGAAAAAATGAATTAGATTTTTGGAAATCACCAAGCAAAGCTCCCTCATTGTCCCGCGACCCCCACTTTGGGAACCACTGTTTTAGAAAGAGCTGTTATTTTAAGCTGACCCAGTTCATCATGTCCAGCATTTGACTGACTTGTTCGGAACAATGTTTACTTTTTAGTGAATTCAAATCATACAGACAGTGCCTGTGTTCACTCACAATGATTTCCAATTGATATAAATACGGTTTCTCATAAACACTGTCTAAGCGACTGTACCATCAGAATTACTCGTCTAGTTAAAGTGAATGCAGAAGGGGCCCACACCGTATCTCTGCAGTGAATGCTGAAGGGAATGTATTAGTTTCCATGCAGAATGCAAGTCAAAAAAGAAAAATCCCCCTGCTCATGGCCCCTTTACGACCACATAAAGACAGACTCTCAGTGTAGATGCACTACTTTTACACTATGATATGATAAGATGTAGTTCCTCTAATAAGAAAAATAGGTCACATTTTGGCTTTGTCATTTGTTTCCTATGTCTAACCACGGTGCACACATTCAGTTTGTGTGGGTGTCGTGATTATGTCAGATAGGTCAAACACAAAGCTGTTGTTTTGCCATCAGCGATTCACCCTGAAGTGGCCATATAGCTAGCCCAGGGGAACATGCCGTTACCATAGTTACCACCTCTTCCCCTTTCTCAGTCTAATTTGATCTCTAATGCTTGTCAACCATGATGTGTGAGTGTGTATGACAGGAGTGAGTGCGCAGCTGTACAGGTTCATGGGCATATCTTGGCGTCTCATTAAACCACAGACCAACCATGTGATTCTCCATTAAATTTTTTTATTTTGGAATGTGGAAGATGTTGCCTTTCCCATTTGACTGACTGTGAAGAATTCGTAGCAGCTAACGTGAAGCGAATGCAGTGATCTGACATGTTTATATCAGACATCTGAAGGAAAGCTACTAGGATCCCCTCTAGTCCTGCACTCCGTCGTTCTGTTTACGGTGCAATATTTAGCTTGCGTTTGATCGCTTGAAGGTTCTGCCAGTTTGTTTACTTGCTGTTTAGAAACATTTCAGCTTAGGGTTGAAGGATGTGGAATTACTGGACGCTATGCATCTTGCTGCAATGGGCTCTGTGCATAGCTAGAGTTTTAAAGCCAACGATAAATTTCCAGTAAAAGCTTAATGTGACTATTTACAATTTCTCAAGGTTGTTTTTACAGCATCAATGTTGTAATGTAGTTACAATACATTCAGTTAAATAGACATAAGCATTCACTTAGTTGTTCAAGCGTTAAACAAGATGAAAGACCTAGTAACCACTAGCACCGTCAGTAGCAACAGGCTAGCGCAGAAATTCCATTGAAAATACTTGGGTAAAATATACTGTCATATTTGAAAGACATGGTAAGGGGAAATGGAATTTAATGCAGTGCTTCTTGTCTGATCTGAGTCCCACTTTAAATCATATATTGATCAGGCAGTGAAGATAGCTGATTTTTAAAGAAATCTAATCTTAAACGTGACAATTTCGCAATGGAAAGACAGTTCACTGGAAGCTCTTGGGCTGCCTGGCTGAAAATTAAAAGTCTGTGTGCATATAGCCCATAAACTGACCCAGTATGAGAGTGTTTTTTAGCAATTCATTTGACTGTTACGATATCAATTTTATTCCATCTGACAAAATCAAGCTGTTTTGTAATAATATGGTCTATAGCAGGAGTTTACAAAATTTTTAAGCCAAAAACAGGCAGCTGCAAATTTGACATCTAAAAAAAACACGTTATTCTGAATTACAGCTGCACAATATTTAGAGATAAATCTAATTAAAGTATTGTTATTGTGATAATTGTGTATACAAGAGCCATGCACTTGTGTGTTACATGCATTGGTTGTTTATCTAAATTTGGCCAATCGGATAGGACCTTACTATGTTATACCTGCCCTCCTAGTTAGGTGCTACTGCTTTTGGCTAGAGCCAAAATGAAAGGTGAACCTAGTGCCTCAAAAACCTATGGCTGAAATAGTGAATAAGACTCAGAATATCTCTCAAGTTTTTCTCTTATTTTTATTGGGCTTTATTTTTAACAATCTAGGCACAAAGTCTAAAACAAGAGCATAAAGAATGAGCCTCCTCCATTCGGCCTCTTTCTCTTTACTTTACTTTTGCGCCTTTCCCTCTGTGGATAAGGAAATGGTGTTGTATGCACTCCACTGAAGACATCCATTAGTTTACATTTTTAATTTCATTTTTCAAGGGCAAAGATTTGCATCAAAACTATTTCTAAATTCAGCTCTAATTTCCAGCAAATGAATAAGTGAACAATAAAAACGAAGTGTGGTCAAAAATCTGAGTTATATCTATTTCAGTTTTTTAAAATAGCAATTCGACAAAAATGCACTTTAACACACCTCCTATATAGACCAGCATGCCCATGAGTCCACAAAGTGGCGCAAATGGACTTGCTATTTAAATAATGTGGTGCAAAACGTGAAAATTAGGGTGGGTCCGAAAATAGCAACAAATCGCGCCAAACACGCCTATATTGCCAGGGTGTATGATAGAGCCTATAGTTTTAAAGTCCAAATGTGTGCCCTTGACAATGTTTTTTTTATTTATTTTTTTTAAGCTTGAATTGGATAAGAAGTATATGATCAATACATTATATAAATCATTTAAAAATATTTATCTAAAGAAATATGTACAATACTCGATATTGTACATCGCATATTTTCTCAGTATTATGCAGCTCTAATCTAAAAATACTATTATTAATTTAAATGTGTGATATTATAATTTAATAAAATGAAATTCGTGTTATTAAATCAAATGTGTGCAGTTGGTGGAAATTCACTTTATACAATGGTCTGTCTGAGTATTTGATTCCAATTGGCTGTATAGTGTGAATTAACACTGAAATCCCTTAAAACTAATCCTGTATCATTTATAAGCCTTTTTAAAAAATGCAGGAGGACATGGGGAATTGTAAGTTTGCCTAATAAGTTACTTTCAC